AACGGTCAGAGGAACTTCATTCTTTTATTTGTCAAATACTCCTTGGGCACCTAGTACTTTGTGCCAGACACAGAGCTGGGCACCGGGAACTGACATGCCAGGGAGAGAACAGTGTGCCGGGGCCATGCGGCCGTGAGCGCTGGGCAGGACCCACGTCGGGGCAGATTCTGAGTCAGCACTTGGTTGTTGTTCAGTCCCTAAGTGCTGTTTGACTCTTTCTGACCCCATGAACTGCAGCACTCCAGGCTCCTCTGTCCTCCATTCTCTCCCAGAGTTTGCTCAGATTCATATCCTTTGAGTCGGTGATGCCATCCATCCATCTCATTCTTTGTTGCCCCCTTATTCTCCTACCCTTAATCCTTTCCAGCATCAGAGTCTTTCAATGAGTCAGCTCTTTGCCTCAGGTGGCCAAAGTATTGGAGCTTCATTATCAGTCCTTCCAATGAATATTTAGGGTTGATTTTCTTTAAGATTGACTGGCTTGATCTTCTTGCAGTCTGAGGGAATCTTCAGCTTTGCTACTAGCCAAAGTTGTTATGCATGGCAGTGGTCAGCATGTGGCTGGCATAAATGTTTGCTGAGCAGAGCTAGAGGTTTTTATTTGTAGGAGGGAAGTCTATTACTTCCATTTTGCAATTGACAAAATGTAGCATCAGCCCAGTGATTTTGAAGCCTGGCTTAGGTCGCTCAGGGTGCCTGTAGGACCTCAGCTGCCTGGGTTCTGCCAATGCCCGGTCCTCCACAGCTCAGGGAAGGGCCTGGCAGAAGGATTTGTTGAAATGTTCCATGGAATCCTTTCCTGCAGCCAACATGAAGAGACTGTTTGCACTCTGCAAAATCTCGCGAGATGCTGAGGGCAAACTGGGCAGTCTCCACGTGGGCCTGGGTGGTCTGCATTCCCAATACACGGCTTCCTCTTATTCATTAGTTTTTGAAGAGGAAGCAAAGTTTAATAATGGGGTATGGCTGGTTGGCGCAGGAGCGCGCTGTCTGGGCAGGGCAGGGTCACTGGGCAAGGGGGCCCTTCCTGCAGTGTGGTTACCCTGACGACCAGCAGCGCCTGCGCTGTCTGCTGTGACCCCATCACCCCACATCTCTCCGTGATGTGGGCATCACCTGACACCCCCTGTCCAGAGCTTACGTGCCATCTGTCATAACTGCCCTCTCTGGCTGTCTTATATTCTCCTATCCTATCTGCCACAGGAGAGGGAAGAAAGGGCCCAGACGCAAACACACACACACACAAGCGGCCTGCAGGGTGTCCCATTTGATGTCCACAGGCCTGCCAAAGTCTTCTGTCCTGGAGGCTCCTCCGCCCGCCGCCTGCCTGTTCCTTGCGTGGTCTTCCTACACAAGTGGGAGGAGGTGGGATAGGGCAGGGGCAGGTCAGGTAGCCTGCAGGGAAGCCTGAAAGTACTACGCATCTGGGGGAATGCAGGCAAATCTGGGGAGCACAGGAGGGGCACAGTCAGAGGCAGGGCTGGAGCAGGCCCCCAGGGTGGATGTTTAATCCAGGGGTGAGAGATGGCTGGCCTGCCTGAACAGTTACAGTGCCCACATGCTGTCATGTGACAATATCCCTTTACTGATGACCAGATCACTGATTACCTATTTTCTCCCTTCTTCAAGGGACAGAGGGATGCTGCTTTGAGAATGCTGAGCATCTCACACATTTGTCCCCTATGTCTGTGGTTGTTATGGCAAGGTTTTTTCATTGGAGACCATTTCACTTTCATATCAACAACCAAGTCCTCATAAACTGGTTGCATTTGCATATTTATATCTACATAAGAAGACATTACATCCTATTACATATGGCTCTGAAGCAGCAAAGGAAAAAGTAGAGAAAGCTGTGCATCTGGGCACTAAACCAGCTGGGGAGACATGTGAAATAGAGTGAGGTCACAGCTTTTTTATTGAAAGTAAAAGAATATCTGTTCATCTATCCATCCATTGATGGACGTTTGGGTTATTTCCACCTTTTGGCTATTCTAAAAATGCTGCTAAAGACATGGGAGCACAGATACTTGAGTCCCTGCTTTCAGTTATTTTGCACAGCTATCCAGGAGTTGAACTGCTGGATCAAATGGCAGTTCTATGTTTAGTTTTTTGAGAAACAGTCATACCATTTTCCACAGTGACTGTACTATTTTACATTCCTACCAACAATGTACAAGGGTTCCAGTTTATCCACATCCTGGTCGACAGTAGTCCTTTTTTATTTTATATTTTTATAGTAGCTATCCCAGTGTGTGTGAGGTGGGTTTTGATTTGCATTTCTCTAGTGCTTAGTGAACACATTTTCCTATACTTTTTGCATATCTTCTTTGGTGAAACATCTATTCAATGCTTTATAAATTTTAAAAAATTGGGTTGTTTTGCTGTTGAGCTATGGACTATTAATCCCTTATCAGATATATGATTTGCAAACATCTTCTCTTATTCTGTGGATTGCCTTTTTGCTTTTTCCACATTGCCCTCTGTTGCACCAAAACTGTTTAGTTTTGATGAAATCATCCACTTTTCTTTCATTGCCTGTGTTTTTGATGTCAGATGCAAATCACTGCTAAATCCAATGCTATGAAGCTCCCCCATCATTCCTTATATTTTTTCAAAAGAATTGTAGTTAACACCTAACCCTTGCTAAAATGCCCAAAGAAGTGTTGATAGACTGCAGTCCTTATAAATGCTATTAAAAAAATAACTTATGGAAGCCAAATTCCATTCCAGAAAATTAACCATTTCAAGGTAAACAACTTAGTGTCATTTAATAAGTTCACAACGGTGTGCGTGCCCCCTATTTCTGCATCAGTACTTTACGGTTCAGAAACATTTTTATATATATTTTCCCACTTGATCTGCACAGTAATCCTGAGAGCTGGACTGAATAGTAAACAAACTACACAGACTGGAGGGGAAGGAGGGGAAACTATTTGTGAAAGACTGTTGCCAGGCAGGTACTGTGCCAGCAAGTTCTTTAATTCATCAAGTTAAAGAACTCAAGTTCTTACCCTGACTCCGATGTGATACCTACCCCGGCGGTGGGCTTGTCAGCTAGGCTCAGCTCTTCCCTTCCTCCCTCATCTGCATGTCAGCCTCTAAGTGACGCTTACACGCGCTGGCGATTTTGATTGCTGGCTACATCCACTTCTATCTCCAGTCCATCAGCACTCTCAAGAATGGGGCAAATCTTACTGCAGGCACTAGGAAATCCCTAGGGAATGAGCTCATCAAAAAGCAAGAGTGAGGTGCTAGGAGCCCCTTCAAGGTCACCTGGTCCCTTCTCCAGGGCTAAGGGTGAGGAAAGGAAGGCCCTAGAAAAGGGGGGATTGCATAGCCCTGTCTACAGCCCGGCAGGACTTTCCAATTCTGGAGCTCCCCTCCTTAAACCCTTCCACCTGTGGGAGGAAAAGGGACACCTGCGCCTGTGTGAACCTCACCGGGTCCCCACCGAGATCGCTGCCTCGCGTTTACCTCCTGAGTCCTGGCCACGCCGGACAGCGTTTGGACAGGAAGCTGAGGTCGGGGCGGCGAGAAACGCAACTGTCACACAGCTCACTCGGGGCAGACGCCAGCCTGGGTCCCTGCACGCCCACGGCTCTGCTGTGCATACCTCCAGCAGCATCTGTGAGCCTCCTGAGCTCTGAGGTGACAGACTCCACCCTGCCCTCCGCCAAGGCCGCCAACACCCCGGACATAGTGGAGAGAGCCAGACCAGTGTGAGCAAACTCTGTCTTTCTTTTCAAGTCAGTGGTTGCCACTGCCGGTCACGGCTTACCGAGGAAGGCCAGGGATGTCAGGCAGCCGCCAGACCTGACTCACGATCTTAGATGACTTAACAGTGAAACACAAATCCCATGTGAGTCAGGCTGCAGCTGGTGGGGCCTCACCAGGCTGGAAAGGTTGAAGAAATCCTTTGGCGTCCGGATCCACCCCACCCCCCACCCTGTTTTGATTTTGACCTTGCTTTGTCGTTATTGTTTGACATTAAGCATTTCAGATTTTTTTTTAAAAAAAGAATCATGTATTATTAGAACTAGAAAAGTTCCTTTGCAACCATTTTCCACCCGGTTTTACAGATGCTGCCCAAGGTCTGCTGGGAGGCAGAGATAGGACTGCGGCCTGTGTCCCCTCCGAGTTCTGTGCCAGTGACCAGGCCCCGAAACCAGCCTCTTGGCCCAGCCTCTGGCTGGGGAGGCTCACGGTTCACTGGGAACAAGCCAGGCCTGCAGCTGGTCGTGGAAGAGCTCTGTCCATCCCCCGACCTTCCTCAGTCCCGCGCTCCCCGGGTTCTATTCTAGCACCGCCCACACTGCCCCCTTTCCTGCTGAATTTTACTCAAGCTCATAGCGGACTTGGGCAGCCTTAGGTTAACCGGGCAAAGTTATTAACCGGGCGCCCTTGGCTCGCCGGCCTTTCCTGCCCTCCAACGCCCGGCCAGGCCAACTCCATGGCCCTGCTTGCAGGAGGGCTTCCTGGAGTCGGCGGCGGCTCGAGGTGGCCCTGACCTTTTAGTCCTTCCAGGGTTGGGCTCAGGGACTTGCAGGAGACTCCCGCACCCACGGCGCTGGTGGGCTGCTCCGAGCCCACCTGGCGACCCCGCCCACCTCTTCCCGGTTTCCCGGGAGCGGAGGCGGCCGGCTGGGAGAGGAGAGGCTGACGGATTCGGGTGCTGGGCTCGCAGACGTCGCGCACGCGCCGGAGGCCGCGGAGCCGGTTAGGAAATGACGAGCTCGCGCGCCAGGCCTGGGGGCCGACAGGCCCCGCCCCTCTCAGACAGGGCCCGCCCCCGCCCCGCCCCTCAAGACCCCGCCCCCACATCTGGGACCGCCCCCACATCTGGCCCCGCCCCGCGGACAGCGCTGTCGGAGGACCAGCCGGCTGCCGCTCGCGCGGGCTCTGGGTAGGGCGGCGGGCGGGGTTGCGGCCCGAAGTCCGGGCCGGGTGGCCCGAGGCGCCCGAGCCCGGTGTGCCCAGTCGGCCGCGGCCGCGGGGCAGCCATGGCGGAAGCCGTGCCGCATCACCCGGCCCTGCCCTCGGGGCTGCTGGAGCTGTGCGCGCTGCTGGGGGCCCCCCGGGACAGCCTCCCCAGCCCGGAGCAGGTGAGGGCGCGGCGCGGTCACGGCGCAGGCGGGGCGGGGCGGCGGGGTCGGGCCCGTGCCCATGGAGCCCCAGGCGTCCGCGGGGCGGGGGCGCTGCGCCCAGGTAAGGCGCGGCGGCCGCCTTCAGCCGCCGGTGCGGTAGCAACTGCCGGCCTGCCCCCTTGCCGCGGTAGAGTCTCAAGCGGCTGCGGCCTGGGGGCTCCCGCCCGCTCCCCTCCTTCCGGAAGACCGCTCCGGCGGGGACCCGGTGCAGGCGTACCGCGGAGAGCGGGCTGGAGACCGCGCGCCTCCGTCTCGGCCTGTTTCTTAAGCGCTTGGGCCGCTAGGCTTCTCTGTCCCAGGACGCCCACCTGGGCCAGGTGGAGACGCGGCCGGGCCGCCTGCACTTTCGAGGCCTCCAGGATCAAATGTTTGTCCGCTGTTACGTGATTTCACTCATTCCACAGATTCTGTGTCTCCTAGGTGCCGGGGTTGTTCTAGGCAGGGCATAAGGATGTTTTTGGTAGACTTAAGGGCTGCCTTTATGTATTTTGCATTTAGACGGTAAGCGATGAAAGGAGCTGTTTTTCGCTGTAAAACACTTTACAAGCCGCCTCCCCTTGTTCTCCACTCTGCACCCTGGTAGCCGAAGTGGCAAGCTCCTATCCCTTTCTCTGGGATGGCAGCTTGGGACGTTCTTGTTTCTTCCCTGTGTTCTCACTTTTTCTTAGTTCCAGAGCCCTGGCTCTGTCTGGGGTGGGTCTGCGGCCCTGTCCCTTGTCCCAGATGCTTGTGACGCTGTCATTCTTCTCCGACATCGCCGGTTAGTGGCGATGCCCCGTGTGTTCAGAGTTCCTGACCCTGCTGCCCAGTTACCCTGGCAGGTCCTTTCCTCTGGTTCCAGATGACATTTAGGAAAGGCAGAGAAAGGCATTTGAGTATTTAAGGCTGCCGGTTGAATGGACATTACCCAGAGGAGCTAAATGTAAAGTGATCCTGATATATGTGTAGTAATGGCTTAGTGATCTGTACTCCTTGGCTTTAGTATAAGGCCAGTTTCCACGATTTCTGCATTCCCTCCTCCTCTCTCAGTCAGCCCTCTCAGTCTGGGTCCCTCTTTGGTCTCTTGTGTCCTCTGACCCTTGTGGATTGAATTGAGCCATCTCCCTGCCTCTCAGTGCTAAGTGTCCCCTCTTTTTCTTCTGACGGGAAATGACCTGGTTTCGGTTGTGGTCTCTGCAGTTAGGCTGTCTTGTGTCTCCAGCGATTACAACACTGTCTCTTAGTTGCCATGATGTGAGGGGATGAATCAACTGGAATATTTACAGTGGTACTTTCCTAAACTAAACAGACTACAGTGTTTGCCAAGGCAAGTGGGCAGTCGGCCATTCTGCATTTGAGCCTTCATCCTCTTTTATATACCTTGCTTCTGTTAGGGCTTGGGCAGAGGGTGGAAGGAACAGTGGTTAAAGGAGCAGGAGAAAAAGCAGTGTTGTGGGGTGGAGTAACATCCTCCTTCTAAGACCAACATTAATGTTACAGGTAACCGAACATAGGATATCATTCATTCAGGTCTATTTTCAGCTGTTATATTATTTTGAATGTCCAAGTCTTTTCAGTTCAGTTCAGTCGCTTAGTCTTGTCTGACTCTTTGCGACCCCATGGACTGCAGCACGCCAGGCCTCCCTGTCCATCACCAACTCCCGGAGCTTACTCCAACTCATGTCCATTGAGTCGGTGATGCCATACAACCATTTCATCCTCTGTCGTCCTCTTCTCCTCCCACCTTCAATCTATCCCGGCATCAGGGTCTTTTCATGAGTCAGCTCTTCGCATGAGGTGGCCAAAGTATTGGAGTTTCAGCTTCAACATCAGTCCTTCCAATGAACACCCAGGACTGATCTCCTTCAGGATGGACTGGTTGGATCTCCTTGCAGTCCAAGGGACTCTCAAGAATCTTCTCCAGCACCGCAGTTCAAAAGCATCAATTCTTCAGTGCTCAGCTTTCTTTTTTTTTTTTTTTCCAGCTTTCTTTATAGTCCAAATATCACATCCATACATGACTACTGGAAAAACCACAGCTTTGACTAGATGGACCTTTGTTGGCAAAGTAATGTCTCTGCTTTTTAATATGCTGTCTAGGTTGGTCATAACTTTCCTTCCAAGGAGTAAGCGTCTTTTAATTTCATGGCTGCAGTCACCATCTGCAGTGATTTTGGAGCCCCCAAAAATAAAGTCTGCCACTGTTTCCACTGTTTTCCAAGTCTTTTAAATGAGGTTTAGCTTTTACTTCTTAAAAATCATTTGTCTCTGATTCAGTCATCCCTATTTGGTGACACATGAAAACAGAAGCCCAGAGATGTGAGACATATCCAGCTTGATGTTAGGATAGTGTAGTGTCCTAACCTTCTGTTTTATTTATTCCTTAGATGGGGTGGTGTTTGTTTTATTGAGGTTAGTGACAAAGAATTCAAGCATACAGTTCAATCCCTAGTGAGTTATTGTGGTCAGTTACATTTCCCTCCACTACTTGGTTGCTATGGAGACTAGACACAGAGATGCGAGGGCATCCATCATAAATCTGTCACAGGATGATGGAAAAGTGCTCACAGCCCCTTTCATAGTGTAGGTTAATGGCATAAATCTTGTGTATGGAAGCACATTTTTATTTATTTATTTTTTTTAGTGGAAAGCCTCCTGGCTTTCAATTTCTCGAGCAGCACTCCCCTACAGAACTTCTCAGATGATGACAACCAGTATTGCTCACCTTCACCACACAGTGTGGTGGCAGTAGCAGCTGGTCACAGAGGGCTGCTGGCTGCTCGAAGTGTGGCTAGTGCCCCTGAGGAACTAAATTTTATATTTCATTTAATTTTAATTAATTTAAGTAGTCAGATGTGGCTACTGGTGACTGTGTTGGACTTTCCTAGAGCATTTAAAAAAATATATATTTCTGTTTTATTTCACAAATGACAGCCAGTCCCATAGTGAAGATCAATGCCATTATATCATCTAATGAATTTAGAGTGTTGTGGTTTTTACTTTTTAGTAAGTTCTTGTCTGAGAGATGAGAGCAGGAAACTACCCTGGGTGGAGTTTGTGAAAAAGGACCTCGTCTTCCTCCTGGGGGTGGGGCGGGTGAGGGGCGGTTGCAGTGTGTATCAGAGAGTGATATGAACCCTTTGGGGTCAAGGGTTGCACTTTCAGGAGTTTAGTCTAATTACAGAGTCAGAGATGCTCAAGCATGTACAAGTAACTGCCCGTTGTTTAGCGTGATGAAGACTTGAGAACAACCCAGCTGTCTGTCAGAAGGGGATTGGGCAAAAGTAGTGCTGAACTGTGCACAGTGGGACACCCTAAAGTGTCCCCATGGGCTTCCCTGGTGGCACTAGTGGTAAGGAACTCACCTGCCAGTGCAGGAGACGAAACAGATGTGGGTTTGATCCCCGGGTTGAGCAGATTCCCTGGAGGAGGGCATGGCAACTCACTCCAGTGCTCTTGCCTGGAGACGCCCATGGACAGAGGAGCCTGGTAGGCTACAGTCCATGGGGTCACACAGAGTCAGACAGGACTGGAGTGACTTAGCACAAAGTGTCACCAGGGGAGTCAGCACACTGTTTGGTTACATGGGGAAAGGCTCATGAAATCATTTAAATATGATGATTGTGTTTAAGAAAAAATCATTTATACATTTAGGAAATGATCAGCCGGTGTCGCATGCTGTGTAGAGCATTGCTTTAGAGTCATGGGATTATGGGGGAGGCATTCCCTTTCTATTATTATTTCTGTATTATTGTTATTTTTTTTAAATGAGACTGTATTGCTTATCTAATCAGAAAAGACAACAGGGATTTCCATTTTGGGGGAAAAACAGACAGCTATGTGATGAACTGCTAAATACCGGGTTGGCGGTACTGTGGCCACGTCACTTGCACTGCCTGAAGGTAACTAGTGGGAGTTGTAGCGTTCACAGGCGTTAGCGTAATGACCAACTTTCCGTGCGGACTGAGCACGCATCCAGAGATCACGGGCGCCAGGGTGGGACTGGATGAACAGCACCCCCACAGGGCCAGAAAGACGAGGGCAGCACAGCCCCGCTCCCCACCCTACCTTTCCGAGGGTGATCCAGGACCACTGTGTTGGCAGCGACCCTCTAGGAGTGCTGTGAGAGGGGAGGTGGACTCTGGATGGTGACGTTCCCGGAGGTGACGAGCCAGAGGTGACGAGCCAGGCGTGACGGCCGGACGGGGCGTGTGGCCCTGGCTGCAGGGTGAGGAAAGGCCCCCTCCAGTGAGTGTGAGAGAGGAGGGGTCTCTGGTGAGGAGGGGCTGAGGCATGAGCTGGGCACTGTCCCGCAGAGCAAAGAGCAGGAAGAAGCATAGCACTGTGACAGGGGCACGTGTATCGAGGTGAGCGAGGACTTTAGGCATGACCAGCTTGGGCGCCCTGAAAGTGGGCCGGCTGCCGCCCAGGTGCACAGGCAGTGCGGGGGCCGGGCTGACCCGGGACACATGCGCTGTGGGATCCCTGCCTGGGAGTGCGCAGTGAGGATGATGATGAGTAGAAACAAAGGCGTCTTTTTAGGTCTGGCTTCCCAGGCCACGCCAGTGGTAAAGAACCTGCTTGCCAATGCACAAAACTTGAGAGATGCAGGTTCGATCCCTGGATTGGGACGATCCCCTGGAGAAGGGCATGGCAACCCACTCCAGTGTTCTTGACTGGAGAATCCCGTGGACGGAGAAGCCTGGGGGCTATGGTCCTTGGGGTTGCACGACAGAAGTGACTCAGCACACATGCCCAAGGGACAGAGATTGGTCTGCGGGGCTGGTTCACTGGGGTAAGAGGCTGGCGCCAGGCAGCTGGAGCCACTGCTGTTGGGGCAGGGGGGTGATGAGTAATGTGAGCTCTTTAGACAGGGGACCCCCTTTGGGAGAGTGGAAGTAGGGCCAGGTGGGTGGGAGGGGTCATTCTCATGGCCATAACCGTGAAGATTAGTTCCTGGTGAACCTGTAAGGGCCTGCTCTGAGCCCCGGGTTTGCGAACGTGTGTGGTACAGATGGAGCAGCAGCTGGTGGTTTGTAGAGACCTTTCTGTGCCCTCCTGACTGGAGGGAGGGGCCACAGAGCCGGCCCAGCTCTGAAGACCCAAGTGGTGTCATCCCATCTCAGAGGACCAGAGGTGGATGATCAGGGTTTTGGAAGTGAGCGTGAGCTAAACTTTTGAAACTAGGTTTAAGGGACCCACTGAATGTATTCGGAGGCAGTCAGGTTCTGCTGGGATGGGACAGAGGCCCCAGCTCTGGGAGTTGGACCCTTTGAGCTGTCCCCATGCATGTAGATGGAACCACAGGGGTGTGGAGATGGCCCTGCAGGCTGGTGTGCAAGGAGGGACTGGAGCCAAGGATCGGCCTGAGGGTCACAGCGGGGAAGAAGGAGTCTGCAGGGGGCTGCCAGGGGGCAGCCAGATAAGTGATTTGCAGAAGGGAGGTAGCCTCAGGAAGTTTCAGGAAAAAGAGCTTATCAGCTGTTTGATACGGGCTTCCCAGGTGGCTCAGTGGTAAAGTATCCACCTGCCAATGTGCAGGAGCCACAGGTTCGATCCCTGGGTTGGGACGATCCCCTGGAGAAGGAAATGGCAGCCCACTCCAGTATTCCAGCCTGGAGAATTCCATGAACAGAGGAGCCTGAGGGGTCCATAGGGTCGCAAAAGAGCTGGGCACGACTTAGCAGTATGGGAGACCTGGGTTCTATCCCTGGGTTGGGAAGGTCCCCTGGAGAAGGGAACGGCTACCCACTCCAGTATTCTGGCCTGGGAAATTCCATGGACTAGTCCATGGGGTCACAAAGAGTCAGACACGACTGAGCTACTTTCACTTTCACTTTTCTAGCGACTGAAAACAACAAAAGCTGTCTCATGCTGTGTGGAGAGGGCTTGTTTGTTCCTCTGACTGTGGACTGTGATCTGTTCCAGGAGCTGTTTCACCGTGAGGTGAGGTGCTGCCCAGTCTCTCTGGATGTAACATCTCACATGAGGAGGAAATAGACCAGCATGTTTTCATAGTGAATTGGTCCAAACTGCTGGAGTTTGATAGGAAAGTTTTAGAGAAGATTTCATACATGTGAAGACAAGATTTCTTTGCATACACTAAGATTTTAAATTATACGATAGGGATTTCCCATGTTTGATCTTGGTTCCTACTGACCAAGGACCTGCTGGTCCTTGGCATTAACTTTCCCCCCTAAGAATAAGGAAACTGTTATCTGAATTCAGATTACATCTCATGAAAATGAGCATGTTGAGCTTCGAGTGTATTACTGACTGAAAATGCTGTCGTTATAGAAGTCCTTTGAAGGCTAGGTGTCCCCTCTTACACCTCTGGTTCTTATTGAAATGTTGTTGCTGGCTGTCCCTTCTCTGCCAGTCATGGTCACATTTTTCTGGGGAAGTGGTGTTCTTCCTCATGCCATTTCTAGGCTCCCTCAAAGGCCCTAGGATACCCATCCCCACCATGGGGCCCAGGCCACCTCTTTCCTTCCCTACCTTTCATACCCAGAGGACCCTGCTTTAAACTTGCCTATCTTTAGCTGGCTGGGCACCTCTTCCTTCTCACTCACAGACTGAGGTTCATATGCCTTCCTTGGAAGATCCGACATCAACCTGGCGCCAATGTTTGTTTAGTCCTAACTCACCAGGAAGAACTCCCTCAGGTATTTAGTTTGATAGGAAAGAGTTAGAAGATGCCTTATGTTATTTGGGGGAAGAGTGAAAAGATAAAAGCTTAAAATCTTGGACCAAGTTAGAGCTGGAAAAGAACTGAGGCTAAAAGAGCCCCTTTTGTGGCTCCTGGGACGGTCATGTGGATGGAGGGAGGAGGCTGCTCCTCTGTGTGCAGCAGGGCCTCCTTCACCCCTCTTTGTGTCCCTCCATGTCAGAGGCAACACAGGCAACGTGCGTGGTGGCCCGGCTGGCATGGCAGTCTTGTTGTTCAGCTGCTAAGTCGTGTCCGACTCTTTGTGACCCCGTGGACTGCAGCATGCCAGGCTTCCCTGTCCTTCACTAACTCCTGGAGTTTGCTCAGACTCATGTCCATTGAGTCAGTGATGCCATCCAACCATCTCATCCTCTCTCGTCCCCTTCTCCTCCTGCCCTCAATGTTTCCCAGCATTGGGGTCTTTTCAAATGAGTCGGCTCTTCACATCAGGTGGCCAAAGGATTGGAGCTGCAGCCTCAGTCCTTGCAATGAACATTCAGGGTTTATTTCCTTTAGGATGGACTGGTTGGATCTCCTTGCAGTCTAAGGGACTCTCAAGAGTCTTCAGCACCACAGTTTGAAAGCTTCAGTTCTCTGGCACGCAGCCTTCTTTATGGTTGAACTCTCACATCCATACATGACTACTGGAAAAAGCACAGCTTTGACTCTACGGACCTTTGTCAGCAAAGTGATGTCTCTGCTTTCTAATATGCTGTCTAGGTTTGTCAGAGCGTTTCTTCCAGGGAGCAGGCATTGGGCACGTGTCAGCAAACGTGTCTGTGTGGATCTGATGAGACGCAGAGCCCTTCTCGGGGCTCACCCTCCACACCAGCCTCTGCGGGGGCTCAGGAGCTTCTTGGGGGCCCACAGGGGTTGAGCACTTGAACTGGGTCCCCTCTCTTAGTCCCTGAACTCGCCTCTTGAAAGGGAAGCTCAGAGGGGCCAAGTAATCTGCTGTGATTCCCGCGGCACTGGGATTTGAACTCAGGTCTCTATCACGGTGCCGGAGCCTTGGAGCCGAGGGGCCAGTTTAATGTCTGTGTCAGCGGCTGAATGACCAGGCTCTGAGAGGGTCTGTCGCTCACGAAGCAAGGTCCTGAGAGTCCCTAAAAGCAGGTCTTGTCATCTCCAGCTGCTGGTGGGAAAAGCCAGGCACACACTGCTGAACTCGCCTGGGGCTTGAGGGCTGGAGAGGCCAGAAGACAGGCCATGGATGCTCCCACGAGGGCTGGACAGCATAGGGCCTCGGTGCTGACTCTCACTTCCTCCTGCTTAAGGTTGCCCAGAGGAAGGGCGTCAAGGGCCCGTCTTCTCTGGATCCGGCGGTGCTGTCAGTCTTCGTGCCTCCTTTTGTCATGAAGGAGGACAGTCAGCTGGCTGGCATGAACTGCATGACTCTGGGTAAGAACAGGAAGCGCTCCTTCCGGAAGAAGAGAGAGAGGCCCAGAGTGGAGCTGGGGAAGGGTGTCCCCGGCGGCCCCAGGGGCCCAGACCCCGAGGACGTGAGCATCCCCAACGGCGTGGACCTGCTGGCTCTTCCGCAGCTCTGCTTCCCAGGTGTGCACGGGCTGGCCTTTTCCTCCATGGGCCAGTTCCCGCTGATGAGCGGGCTTCTATTCTGGCTTCACTTTCTCCCTGGTTTGCGAGAGAGGTGCAGGTGTCTGGTGTAGAAAACCTGGGCCAAAGGACTCGACGGAAGGGCCTGTCTGGAGGCTCCACTGAGAAATTGATGGGGTTTCCTGGTGTTGGGGATTAAAACCTGCAAAGGCTGGACACCCCTCCTCCGCTGGGCTCAGGGCCCAGCCCCTACTCCAGGTGCAGCCTGAAGGTTCTGCCTGGGGGCCTGTCCCCCTGAAAGGGTTCAGAGCACAGAGCACCGGCAGAGACACTGCTTCTGGGGGGAGGGCGGGGGGGGGACAGAGGGAGGGGCTTCGCAGCCTGAGGAGTTAGCCTGACTGGCCATCAAAGAGCCACATGTGACCACGGGGTGGGGGGACGTGTCCTGTCGCTATGGTTAGCCCAGGTCTCAGGGCGGACCCCGCGTGACTGGACTGAGGCTCCTTCTTTCTTTTCTCTTCCTACAGGGGGATTGTGTGTGGCCTCTGAGCCCAGAGAGGACTGCATCCACTTTCTGGTGCTGACCGACGTCTGCGGCAACAGAACCTATGGCGTGGTGGCACAGTACTACCGACCCCTGCACGTACGTGGTTCGCACAGCTTCCTTCTGAAACTGGGTCTAGGTTGTGGGGTTATTTTGCAGTGAAATATACACTACGTGGCAATCACTATTTTAACCATTAAAAAATGTGTAGTTCAGTGGCATTAAGTATGTTCACAGGGCCAAGCCACCATCCCCACCGTCTAGTTCCAGGACGTGTTTATCACCCCAAAAGGCAGTGGGGTCTTATTAGCAGTACTCCCCAGTCCCCGCTGCCCCCAGCCCTGGGCCCCCGCTAGTCTGCTGTCTGCCTCTGTAGCTTTGCCTGTGCCAGACATTTCGTGTCGGTGGAATCATATGACACGTGTCCTTCTGTAGCTGGCTTTTCCCCACTTGGTGTGATGTCTTCAGAGCTCGTCTGTGTTGGACGTCACTGCTTTTCACAGCTGCGTGATACCCCACGGTGTGTATAAACCACGTCCTGAGTCTGCATTCCTCAGCGGAGGGCACAGGGATTGTTTTCATATGCGTCAGGTCCCTGGGCTTAGATTTGGAGAAGATGACTCATCATCAAGCATTTAGGGTGTGTTTTCTGAGCAGGGCTGCTGTGTGTGACCCAGCTGGCCTGGGGTGTTTGTAGGGACCGTGATGGACCGGAAGGTACAGGGTAATGGGCTCCCTACTTCCAACCCCGAGGAATAGTCCCCTAGGGCCCAGATGGGGATCCCTTATATTTTTTACATAGTTTAAAAATTTTTTTTAATTGACATGTAGTTGATTTACAATATTGTATTAGTTTCATTGTGTGGCAAAGTGACTCAGTTATGCACATATATGCATAGACTTTTCAAGATCCTTTCCTTTATAGGTTATTATAAGATATTGAATATAGTTCCCTGTGCTATACAGTAGGTCCTTGCTGTTTATTTTATATGTAGAAGTATATATATTTTAATCCCCAAATCCTAATTTATCCCTCTCCCTTTATTCTTTTGGTCACCATAAAGTTGTTTTCTGTGAATTTATTCCTGTTTTGTAAATGAGTTCACTGTCTCATCATTTTAGATTCTGCATATAAGCAATGTCATATGAAACTTGTCTTTCTGTGGCTTACTTCGCTTAGTAAGATAATCTCTAGGTCCAGCCATGTTACTGCAAACGCCATTATTTCATTCATTTTATGGCTGAGTAGTACTCCACTGTGTATATTCACCACGTCTTCTTTATCCATTCACCTGTGGAGGGACGCTTAGGTTGCTTCTGTCTTGGCTCTTGTAAACAGTGCTGCTATGGACCTTGGGGGCACGTGTCTCTTGGAATTATGTTTTCTCCACACACATGGTGGGCGCTCCGATATTGTGCCCTTTGTGAGCTGTGCAGAGAGCTGTGCCTTTAGGAATCCTGCTGCTGTGTTCTTTTCTGGTGGACATCCCCCCATCATGGGCCGAGGACCCCACCTGCCCCCTCCTCAGGCCACGATGCCCACCTGGCTCCCAGCCCTCTTGAATATTGCCTTTTGCCTAAGTGGGGCCCCCTTCTCTTGTCTCACTGTATTCTTAACTGTGCACCCCTCTCACTGAAGGCAGCAGGCTTCTCCCGGGGAAGGGTCCAGTCTTACCATCTGTGTAACCCCAGCACCTCACTCAGAGCGAGCTCCCCACGGGCTCCATCCGTGCTGGTGGAGAGGCTGGTGCTCTCTCTCGTGAGGTGGTGGCACAGGCGGGACCGGCCAGACCTGTCCAGCCCCCGTCCAGGCGCCTCTCTGGAGAGGCCGGCACCACTGAAGATGGAGCCTGGGGTTTGCCGGGGTTTGACGGGAAGTGATGATGCTGTTGTTCTCCTCCAGGACGAGTACTGCTTCTACAACGGCAAGACGCATTGGGAGGCATCGGGACTGGGCGGGGGTGCGGCCGGCTGCTTCGTGCCCTTCGCGGTGTGTGTGGTCTCCAGGTTCCCCTATTACAACGCCCTCAAGGACTGTCTCTCCTGGTGAGTCTGCACCCGCTCCCCGGAAAGCCTGCCTGCGAGCTGGGCAGCCGGGCTTATGGGCTGCCACACCCAGAGTACTCCCCTGGTGGTGAGAAGTCCTGGAACTCCTGGAGCAGAGATTTCAGCTCTGATCAGCAATGCAGAAGATGATGATTGGATGCTCGTATTTATTTTGTGATTTGATTTTTCTTTCAATTTCAGTTTATTGACTCATCTGAAGTTCTGTAAAGATTTCGAAGTTGACAATCACATAAAAGATTTTGCTGCAAAGCTGTGTTTAATACCTAGCCCGCCACCTGGACCACTCCATTTGGTAATGAAATCTGAATTATCTTGTTTTTTTTTTTCTTTGCAAATAATAAAAGTAACATGATGAAGATGGTGTATTTATTTTTAATTGACATACAGTTGATTTACAATGTGTTAATTTCTGCTATATAGCAAAGTGATTCAGTTATACATATATATGCATTCTTTATATTCTTTTCCATTCTGATTTATCATAGGATATTGAATATAGTTCTCTATGCTGTACTGTTGGACCCTGTTTATCCATTCTGTATGTGATAGTTAGCATCTGATAGTCCCAAACTCCCACTCCAGCCCTCCCTACTCACTCCCCTTTCACATCCACCCGTCTGTTCTTACATCCCTGGGTCTATTTCTGTCATGAATAGCTTCATTTGTGTCATATTTTATATTTCACATGTAAGTGATACCATACAGTATTTGTCTTTCTCTTCCTGACTTAGTCTGATAATTTCTAGTTGCATTCATGTTGCTGCAGATCACATTATTTATTTCTTTTTTATGGCTGAGTAGTAGTCCATTGTATATAGGTACCACATCAGTGAAGATGGCTTAATTCTTTTAAATGATTTTAAGTTCTAGCTTTGCTTAAATTTTGCTTCTCAAGTTCCTCACAGAAGCATTTTATGCATTGTGTCCAAAGGTTAGGAAACTAGAAATAAATTAGAAAATTTGTCTTCTAAAAATTTAAAAATAAAATTTCAGTCTAAAGTCAAATACTTAGGCCTGAGTTTTGCTGAGTGGCGCATGATTAACAGATATTGAACTAGTAATAGGCCCCTTTGGTGGTTAACATGTTAATTCATTACTGGCTATTCAGAAAACACATCAAATTTACTTACATTACAAATCCCCCCCCTTTTTTTAAATTGAATATGAGGTTTATATTTAACTTATTGATGTTTTTTCTTGTCCAGTGTAGTTAGTAAAGTACAAGTGGTTTGGTTTTTTTGTTATTCATAGTGCCCTTGTGTTATTTAATAGCTAGACAAGGGTTCCCAAACTGGGTTCCGTGAAACACTGGTTGAGATGTTATTGGCTCTTTCGTGGTGGGAGGTTTCCGGGTTAAAGAAAGTTGGAGAAAGACAGACTTATTCCCCTTTTGCTGAGTAACATGCCAGACTGCTAAGCTGTGTGATGAAACCTGTTTGAGTCAATGATTTCCAAACTAATTTAACTGTGGGATGCTTCCTTTTTTTGAAAACAAACATCTATTAAATAAGTGTCTTAAAGTACATAGTAAATGTTAATTTCACTCTGGTAGTTCCTTCTGGAAGATTTTACGTATACATCTTGTTTTGTCTATGTTTTTGATTATTATGAACAGTTGAAAAATTATTAGGATATTTGTGATTATTATTTATTATTAAAGTATATATACCTAGCAGTCTGCTCGGGAGGGACATCCCACCAAGTACATTTCTGGCTCAAGGCTGGGCAGGATGTTTGTCTCTCTGGGTTCCAGTCTCAGAACCCTTTGTGGGGAACGTTTGTTGGATTTCCATGTCAGGCAGTCATCTTTACTATGTGGATACCTGGTACTTCCATGCAGTGAAATCATCACAGGTTATGTTCTTATGCCAGAAACTCAGCCCCTGCTCACTGAGGCCCTGCTGCAGCAGTGAGCCAAGCTCCCTGAGTTCAGAACAGTGCTGCTGCTGCTGCTGCTGAGTCACCTCAGTCGTGTCCGACCCTGTGCCACCCCACAGACGGCCGCCCACCAGGCTCCCCCGTCCCTGGGATTCTCCAGGCAAGAACACTGGAGTGGGTTGCCATTTCCTTCTCCAGTGCATGAAAGTGAAAAGTGAAAGTGAAGTCGCTCAGTCACGTCCGACTCATAGCGACCCCATGGACCGCAGCCCACCAGGCTCCTCCATCCATGGGATTTTCCAGGCAAGAGCACTGGAGTGGGGTGCCATTGCCTTCTCCTCAGAACAGTGTTAGGGTTACCTATAATTTGTAGCAGTCTGCCTCTGAGCGTAGGTCATGTGTAAATAGTACTTAACACCACTTTTCTGTATCTTAGACTCTTGGAGTAACTAATACTTTGTTCCTACATTTCTACCACCTGGAGTGCGAAAGCTTACTGAGGAAATTTTTGGGGGCGGGTTAGCGGGCATCTTCTTGATGCCTCTTTGCCCCACATGCACCCTCTCAGTCATACCTGGGTCCCCTCCAGCAGCTCTTTCCAGTTCCCCTGCTTCCACTGTCACCACGGCTCTGGGCCACCAGCTTCTTCCACCTGCATGACTTAGGGAACCACTGGTCTGTCCACTTCCATTCGTTTTTTAAGTTTTTATTTATGTACATATCTGTTTTTGGTTGTGCTGGGTCTCCATTGCTGCAAGCGGGCTTCAGTTGTGGTCAGCAGAGCCGCAGTGCACGGCCTTCTCTCGTTGTGGAGCGTGGGCTCATGGCGCTCAGGCTCGGTAGTTGTGGCTTCTGGGCTCCAGAGCACAGGCTTGGCAGTTGTGATGCATGGGTTTTAGTTGCCCCGTGGCATATGGAATCTTCTTAGACCAGGGACTGAACCCATGTCCCATTGACAGTGGATTCTTAACCACTGAACCACCGGCGAAGCCCTCCACTTCCAGTCTTGACCTTGCACTCAGTCTATCTTTGCACAGTGGATAGAGAGATCCTTAAACTCTATACTTTCCTTTTGGACTTAAGACCCCTCACTGGCTTCTCCCTGGTCCCTCCACCCAGACCTGCCTCCCCCACATCACCATCTGGCTCCGTCCGCCCCACGCAGTCCTGGCTCACTGTCGTCCAGCCGCGCTGGGCCACTGTCGTCCCTTGCACAGGACCATTGCATGTGCTGGTCCTCCTCCAACTCCTGCCACTCTCTGAGGCCTGGCTCAGGTGCCGGGTCTCCGGAGCAGCCCCTCTCACGCTGTCCAGCTCGGCCTCTCGCTCTCCTGCGGAGCTCAGCGCAGCGGCAGTGTGGGCTTGAGTGTGCCTGGAGGAACGTCCAGTTCCTCCCTCGGACTCTGGGCCACGGCAGCACAGAGGCTGTGCTCAGAGCTGCATTTCCAGCACTTAGCCGCTGCCCCCCGCAGAGCACTGTTCAGTCAATGAACGAAACGATGTTCCGGCATCACCAGCAGTGCTGAGTCAGGGCCTGCCTGCCGGGGCTCGTGGTTTGTCACGGGCTGCATCTGGATCAGACCTGTCCCTGAGCTCCTCCACTAACAAGTCTAATTAGCTGTGGGGCCCCGGTTGGTGTGGTGGTCATGTCTGTCGTAATGCTAGTTGCAGAATTGTGGCTGTTGACTGTTCTGAAGAAACCTGAGGTCAGTTTCATCTGATGCAGGAGCTGATTAAGCAGTGTTTTCCAGAACCCACTGCAAATCAGTGTCAGATACCCCATCTGCCTTGCTGAATGCGCCTGTGTGCCTGAGGCCAGGGCAGGCTTATAACCCTGCTGTTCCCAGCTCTCCACCTCTTCAGAGGGACCCCGTCTTCCTCCTTCACGTCTGCCTTCTGCTTCAGCCTTTAACACTTAATAAGCATCTTGTGAATGTGGGATTTGAATTTGAAGTGTCTTTTTAAAATAATATCATTTAGAAAAATAAAGTGTCCTTAAAATTTTTTCGAATTCCATATCTTTAAGGAGCTTTGGGGTATCCCCGGTGGCTCGGGGTAAAGAACCCACCTGCAGTGCAGGAGCCACGGGACACTCAGGTTGAATCCCTGGGTTGGGAAGACCCCCTGGAGGAGAGCTTGGCAACTCACTCTAGTATTCTTACCTGGGAAATCCCATGGACAGAAGAGCCTGGTGGGCTACAGTTCATGGGGTCACAAAGAGTCAGACATGACTGAAGCGACTTAGCACGCTAGTAAGGAACTTTGACTGATAAATTGAAATTATAGGCAAATACATAGTAAGTAGTCACCACGAATAATGTATACTGGTTAAGATTGGTTTGAACATGCTTGATCAAGAATTTGTGCTAATCAAACTGGATATTTGGGAGGCAGTTTAGCTTTGTTTTGTCAATGAACAATTTGCTGTTTAATTAAAGAGTTTAAGGGAGTCTGGCTGAAAAAGCCATGCAGTTCAGTCGCTCAGTCGTGTCTGACTCTTTGGACCCCGTGGACTGCAGCACGCCAGACCTCCCTGTCCATCACCAACTCCAGAGCTTCCTCAAACTCATGTCCATTGAGTTGGTGATGCCATCCAACCATCTCATCCTCTGTCGTCCCCTTCTCTTCCCGCCTTCAATCTTTCCCAGCAACAGGGTCTTTTCAAATGAGTTAGTTCTTCACATCAGGTGGCCAAAGTATTGGACTTTCAGCTTCAGCATCAGTCCTTCCAATGAATATTCAGGACTGATCTCCTTTAAAATGGACTAGTTGGATCTCCCTGTAGTCCAAGGGACTCTCAAGAGTCTTCTCCAACACCATAGTTCAAAAGCATAAATTCTTTGGTGCTCAGCTTTCTTTATAGCCCAACTCTCACACCCATAAATGACTATTGGAAAAACCACAGCTTTGACTAGATAGACCTTTGTTGGCAAAATAATGTCTTTTCTTTTTAATATGCTGTCTAGGTTGGTCATTGATTATCTTCCAAAGAGCAAGCGTCTCTCAATTTCATGGCTGCAGTCACCATCTGCAGTGATTTTGGAGCTCCAAAAAATAAAGTCTGACACTGTTTGCACTGTTTCCCCATCTATTTGCCATGAAGTGATGGGACCGGATTCCATGATCTTAGTTTTCTGAATGTTGAGTTTTAAGACAACTTTTTCACTCTCCTCTTTCACTTTCATCAAGGGGCTCTTTAGTGTAGGGAATATGCTATGCATAGGCCTGTACTATAATTAACAGGGCTTCTTTGAAGAAAAAGAACAACTTTCTCATAGCCCCCAAGCGAAGGGCTGGGAGCAATAAAAAGTACATTGTAGAAAAACATCTTGAAAACAAGATGTTGAAGTACTGATGTGACTGATGGAAAACCATTAGTGACTCTTTTCCTGACCAGAGCCTTGAGGGAGTTGCTGAGAAAGGTCGTCACTAGCTGAAGGGCTAAACAGAATCATGAAAGGCCTGAAGGTTTGACATTGAGGACTGTGCATTGTATATCTTTATCCCCGATATGAAACTAAAAAACAGATAATCTCTAGAGCACCTACAAGGAAGTAGATGTTAGCAATAAAAAGCATGCAGGTATTAGGATCTGGGCTTTTGCCTGCGAGTGGCATCAGCCCCCTGATCGCCACCTTATTTCTGAGTCTTATTTTTCCTTATTCTTCTGCAGCACTGCTCCCTCAGGTCGGTTCGTTGTTGGGCTGGTCCCAACACTTTAGTTCTTCACTCTCTGCCATAAGGGTGGTGTCATCTGCATATCTTAGGTTATTGATATTTCTCCCGGCAATCTTGATTCCAGCTTGTGCTTCATCCAGTCCAACATTTCTCAAGATGTACTCTGCATATAAGTTAAATAAGCAGGGTGACAACATACAGCCTTGACGAACTCCTTTTTCTATTTGGAACCAGTCTGTTGTTCCATGTCCAGTTCTAACTGTTGTTTCTTGACCGGCATACAGGTTTCTCAGGAGGCAGGTCAGGTGGTCTGGTATTCCCATCTGGTATTCCCAAAAGACATTAGGTCCTCAATTTGTCATGAAACGTTCCTGGGAGTTCTGTTTATCTCTGGATGGTTTTATTTCTGTGACATTGAAGGTGACAACATGAGTCTTTGAAAGTGTGTGCTAACTCAGATGCTTTCTGAGCCCAAATGGTGAATTTCAGTGCCTTTCAGCCTCTGCTGGAAGCAGCTCCCTGAGCCAATGATGGAAATTGGTTGTTGCAGATATTTAACATGAAACCACTACAGATCGTGTTTCCCTCGAGAGCAGACCCCGAGAGCCCCCTCATCGACCTGGACCTTCACCTGCCCCTGCTGTGCTTCAGACCTGAGAAGGTGCTACAGGTACGCGTCCCTCCACACCTGTGAGCGTCTCACGCTGACTGACTTAACCGAGCATCCAAGAGAGGGTCTTCCTTTTTTGCTTAAAACCAGCTTTCACCGCAGAGTACACTGTTGGGGTGAGGGCGGCCTGGGTTGTGGCAGACGGACCGGGGGAGCCGGAGGAGAGGTGCGCTGCGTCCGGCCTCGCTGGGCGGCACCCTCACGATGCTTCAGGCTCGTGCTGTCCCCTCCTGTCCCCCAGATCCTTGCCTGCCTCCTGACGGAGCAGCGCGTCGTGTTCTTCTCGTCCAGCTGGGCCCTGCTGACGCTCGTGGCCGAGTGCTTCATGGCCTACCTGCACCCCCTGCAGTGGCAGCACACCTTCGTGCCCATCCTGTCTGGGCAGATGCTGGACTTCCTCATGGCGCCCACCTCCTTCCTCATGGGCTGCCACCTGGACCACTTCGAGGAGGTCAGCAAGGTGAGCACCCACTGCTGGACTCAGGGCGCTGAGTCACGCGGGCACTCTGGGAGGATGCCTGCGGAGCTGCTGGGCGGCGTGGGCGGGCACAGCGGACTGGGGCGGCTCCCCACAGGGCAGCAGCGCGCCCTCCTTGTCCTCAGGGTGTGCTCAGGGCCCGCTCCGAGCGTCACACCTGATACCTCTTCTCAGGTTTTCGCGGAGGCGAGGGCAGGCGTTGGAGTTGAGGGAGCTGATTTTGAGTGTCACCTCTGCTGCCTACTAGTTCTGCAACCCTGAGTGGCCCTCTGGCCTCTGCTAAGCCTCAGTCTCCTCATCTGTGAAGTGGGCACGGCCGTGGCCTCCTGGCCAGGGTTCTGGCTCAGGGATGTCCCCCGTCCCTCCTGGCAGGGTTCTGGCTCAGGGATGTCCCCCGTCCCTCCTGGCAGGGTTCTGGCTCAGGGATGTCCCCTGTCCCTCCTGGCAGAGGACTGGGCTTGGTGGACGGGAGCCACCATGATATTGTTCTGAATTTTCCATTTTCACTTTTATTGATTACGCCTCTGCTGTTCATTAGTACCATGAACCTACATCCTAGACGAATGCAGGTGCATGCTTGGTGTCCGAGGGGGTCTGTGGGCCTTGCCGAATCACGTGGCCACTTACTTGCTCGGGGGCAGACCTGAGTCCTGACGGGACACGGGGCTGCAGCATCAGGCAGTGTCGGAGCACACAGTAGGTGCTTCACATGGGCAGCTCTTTCTGCTGCTGTGCTGACAGGGTGCATTTCGAAGGGGAGTTCAGGCCGTGGGCATCGCCAGCAGCAAGAGCAGATTGGGTTTTCTTAAAACAGCTTTTCTTTCAGATACCATTTACATACCACAGAGTTTCCTGGACTAAAACGTACAACTCAATGGCTTTTAGTAACTTGGTGGAGCTGTGCTGCCTAATTTTAGACATCTTGGTCAGCCCGCAGAGAAACCCCGCCTGTGTTAACAGTCACTCCACCTCCACCACACCCCCCAGGCCCTGGCCACCCTGCCAGCCCTGTGGATCTGCCGGTTCTGTATACGGGAATTTTACATAAATGGAATCGTTCAGTGTGTGGTCTTTTATAACTGGCTTCTTTCACCTAGTGATGTGTTTCTGAGGTTCATCCGTGTAGCAGCACTGTATTTTTGTTGCCCAGTAGGGTTGCCCTGAATGAAGAGACTACAGTTGTTTATCCATTCATGAGTTGAGGACGTTTGCGGTTGTTTCTGTGTTTTGACTGGTGTGAACGGAAGCTGTGAGCACTCACGTACAGGTCTCTGTGTGGACACGCGTTCATTTATTTACCTCGGTACACACCTTGGTACCCGCCTGGGGGAGGAATTGCCAGGTCCAGTGCTAGTACTGTGATTAACCATTGGCGAGATGTCCAGGCTGCTGCCCTCCGCAGCTACCCGGCTCACCGTCCTCCAGCACCAGGGGGGCTCTGGGCTCCTGCCTCCTCCCAGCACGTGTCACCGGTCTTTCTGCTTTCAGCCCTCTTGCTGGCCGGTTTGGATGACTGGCATCGTGGAGGTCTTTTTCTTGTGCTTATTGGTAGTTGGCCCAGGGTGGGCTCTCATGTAACTTTTTCATTTTCATTGTAATTAACATGGAGTTGATTTTACAGTGTTGTGTTTGTTATTTCAAAAATTTCTCAGTGTGCGCAGAACCCGAGAGGAGTGGAAGGTTGCCTCGTGGCCCGCGCTGTCCTCGGGAGTCGTCCGTTTTTCCTGGCGTTTGCAGCACAGTCCGGCTGAGCCGGTGCCCCTCCTTGTGGCGGAGCCGGCATGTCTGTGTTCTTGGCAGACTCGCTGACTCACTCACCAGGGGACAAACACGCTTTGGGAAAAGGCCATTCAGACCTCCTGGAAGGAACGGAAAAGCGTCACTCTTGGAAATGAGGAAAAAATAGGCATGCTCTGGAGTTAAAGCTGGGTTTCTTTTTTTAGTCGTCAGGGGAAAAACCGCCTTCGTTTGGTCCCTTCAGGAGGGACACGAGGCACAGGCGCTTGACTCCGGTCCACAGTCGTGAAGGAAGTCCTCCTAGCGGCTACCTGCTCTGGGAGGCGTCCGGTCAAGGCAGCAGGTCTTGGCTGAACGCCTTTGGGGTTTGGATGTTTTCTTGATGGTGCTGGGCATGTGGACGGGGTCCTTGTGAAAGCTGGGCACTCACGCGCTGAGGATGCCTGTCCCCTCCGGTGTAGTTCTCTGTGCTGGGGCACGTGTTTGTGATACTCCATGTGACATGGAGCACTCACTGAGAGCCTGGCCCGCCAGGAAAGCCAGGGCGAGTTTGGCGTCGTGTTCCTGGGACAGTTGAAGTGCAGAACTCAGGTGTGTGACTCAGTGTTTGTGTGTTTCGTCACAGATAAGACTTCACAAGTATGCCATACACACGTCTCAAGAATGCTTGAGTGTGTTGGCTCCCTGAGCCCAGGGCACACCTGTGTTCTGGTCCTTGGGGGTGGGGAGCTAGCCGGGCAGCCTAGCGGGCACCCTGAGTGTCGAATGTCAGGGTGCTCTGGCTGGAGCTCTGGAATGTCCTCTCCAGGCTCCCTGAAGTGACCACGGAGTGTTTGTACCAGGGCGGGGGGAGGCCTGACTGCGTGTGTTGGAATCTTGACTCAAGGCAAGGTGTGTGTTGGAATCTTGACTCAAGGTGTTTAATCACTTTAGCTTATTAACCTAATTCATGGTATGCATTGCATTTTGGAGCAGACAATATAAGGCTTTGTGTGCATATTAAATATACAATAATTTAATTAATGATGACTTGATCTTAGTGAATGCAAAATGTAGCCTTGTGTTTTCAAAGATGTATACAAATTCAGATTCCTACTTTGATCTTTACAAACTTATTTTATAGGAAGCTGATGGTTTAATTTTGATAAACATCGACAATGGGAACATCACCTACTCTAACGATGAGGAGGTTGATGTTCCTGACATCCCTCTCCTGGCTGCACAGACGTTTATTCAGAGGTAAGGAGAGAGATCATGTGTGTTTGGGAAAGTCTTGCTCAGGTTTGTACTTGCCACATCTGAGTATCTTTTCCAATCTTATATTAAGAGACGGTTTATGTATTTAATGGGGCTTCCCTGGTGTCTCAGACAGTAAAGAATCTGCCTACCAAAAAAAAAAAAGAATTCGCCTGCAATGCTCAAGACTTAGGTTCCATCCCTGGGTTGGAAAGATCCCCTGGAGAAGGGAATGACTTCCTACTCCAGTATTCTTGCCTGGAGAATTTCATGGGCAGAGGAACTTGGCGGGCTACAGTCCAAGGGGTTGCAAAGAGTCAGACACGACTGAGCGACTAACACTTCTACTTTTTTTGAAAAATGTATTTAATAGATTGCAAATTATTTGTGAATGCTTGACTATAATATGCTGATCCTGTCTAAATACTAAGTGGCCCCCGGACCAGGGGACAGTCACACCCCCGGGATACCTCCCAACCCCTCCCAATGATTTCTGAAGTCCTTTCTCCTTCATTCATTCCTTCACCCATTCACTCATCAGATATGTGTCCAGTGCATCGGGCAGGGTATGTGTGTACTGCGCAAGCAGACGTGGCCTCGTCCTGTGGCACTGTCAGCTGGGGCACCCTGATGACCGTGGCCTCCCACCCTTCCCTGGGCAGGCAGCTGTCTTCCCCTTTCGCCCCCGCCCCTCCCCCCCCACAGAGCTCTCTCTCAGTGCTGTTATTTTTCCATAACTGTGTTGTGGCCATCCCTATGACTAAACTTTACTGGCCAAGCTCAGGCCTGACACGCTTTTCCCAAAGAGGGCAGGTGATAACCGGTGAGGCTCGCAGGTCCCACAGCCTCTGTCGTGGTGGGAGAGGCGTGGCAGTGAGGGGCGGCCCCACGAGCGTCTTCGGGGGCAAGAGAGAGGAGGTATGGTCATACTTAGGCCAGGATGAAGGTGCATCCAGGGTGGGCGGTGGCAGAGCTGGGCCCCCTCAGGGGTCCTACAAAGGGACGGTCCCCTCTTTGGAACCTAACAAGGTGGTGGTGGGAGAGATCCTGCTTTTAGTCTTCCAGTCCAGGTGTGGACGGCAGGCAGGCCCGGTGTGGAACTCATGGGGCCCCTTGCAGGGCGAGGGGTGGGGGTCAGCGTAGCAGCTGCTGCTGGCCGTCTCCCATCCGTGCCAACTGTCCCCCTTTATCTTGTCTGCTGTTGGGAGGTCAGACACAGGCCAAGGCCTGAGAGCAGGGGAAGGAGCGGGTGGTCCTCTGTTGGCTCCCTGGCGTGGCTGTTCTCACCTGTTCCTCTTAGCAGTCAGGGCAGGCTGCCATAACAAACACCTCCTAAGCAACCGACATCTACTGCCTCCCAGTCCTGGAGGCTGGAAGTTCAAGGTCAAGATGCCAATAGGGCTGGTTCCTCGCTGTGTCCTCACGTGGTCGTGCCCCTGTGGGTGTTGTGTTCTAATCTCTTACAAGGACACCATCATATTGGAGTAGGTGCAGCCTCATGACCTCATTTTAACTTAATTGCCTCTTTGAAGGCCCCAACTCCAAACACAGTCACACTGTGAGGTATTGGGGGTCAGGACTCCGACATGGGAATTTGGGGAACAAACAGTTCAGCCTGTCACTTCTTGGTGTTGATTATTCCCTCTCCCTGGATGGTTTCTAGAGTCGATGGGCGTGCCACCTTTATCAATGGTCCTTCCATCGTAAACAATTTTACAGCGCCCAGAGCCTGGGTGGTGGGCGTACAGGCCTGCGTGGCTGGTGGGTCGTGCTCACGGGGCCCAGCCAGGGGCCCTGCTGGAGTGTCGGCCTGTGTGAACTCAGAAGGCGGAACCCACATTCCTTACCGTCTGGGCACTTTCTGATAAGCAGAGTCCGCATTCCCCGATTTTTGAGGACTGATGTTGGCCAGCATTTGGCGAAGCTTCTCAAGTGTTTGCTTGGATGGAGCATATCCAATAAGATGAGATCTCGCCTCTGCCCACGTGTTACTGTGAGAATTCTAGAACATTCCCAGGGTTCTTGCTTGGTCAGACCCCCAGAGGTGGGATGTGGCATGTCAGGCTCACCACGAGGGGCTGTTTATAAACATGAACTAACCTGTGCATGGCTGGTGGCATGTCTGTGAAGGGCCCTGGGACCGTGATCCAAGCCATGGCGTGGGTCTCCTCTTGGGGACCGGGGGTGCGTGAGCACCCACCCACCGTATTTGGTGGGAAGGCCACCTTCTGCCATGCTGTCTTCCTCACCTTGAGCAGAGTGTGTTTGCCGTGTCCCCCTGCCCCGCTGGATCTCTAGGCATGTGTCATGTGGGTTTATTTGCATATTTAAAGCCTCCGACTCTCTCCTTGGTGTGCAAAGTCACGTCTGAAAGTGCAGCCGTGGGTGATGCTGGGGAGGTGGGGGTCCTGTGTGATGAAGACCTCTGGGAGCCCCCGTCCCCAAGAACCCCCCGATGAGTGGCCATACCTCAAGCACCCGCACCTGCCGGGGCAGGGCCTTCCTGCGCAGACCCGCTGGAAACCCTTTGGCCGTTGTGGAAGAGGGGGGGTTGAAAAGGGGGATGGGATGACTCAGCTTGCACAAAAACACCTGTGGTCCAAAAACAAGGCCTTTGTGGGTTCCGCACTAGTGAGCTGTTTGTGTTGGGACGTGAATAGACTCCCAACCGGAATGTGTTTTCAATGACACCCCTCTCCACCCGCTGCCCCAGCATTGATAGGTGTTCTGAGCATCCTAAGGTCAGTTTAACTCTCCCTGGAGGATTCCCTCTCCTGCCCGTGAGCAGTGGTCATGTGCTGTGGCCTGAGCTGTGGTCACTGTCCCTCTGTTCCTTTCCAGGGTCCAGAGCCTTCAGCTGCACCACGAGCTGGACCTGGCTCACCTCTGCACCAGCACGGATGTGAACGAGGGCCGGGCCTCCAGGCGGGCCTGGCAGCAGCAGCTCAACTGCCAGATCCAGCAGATGACCCTGCAGCTGCTCGTCAGCATCTTCAGGTATTTCAGGTCCCTCCAGGCTCGTCATCGGGTCCCCAGCCCGCTCCCAGTTCCACGCCGGCCGCGGCCTCAGAGCTTGGGGACCGAAATCCAGGACTGACATGGGAGAGGCCCCTGCACCCAGGAGGATCCCTGGGAGTGTGTCGGCCCTGCCGGGGCCTTCCCACCCCCTCCTTTCTCCTGCAGAGGACCACTTTGGGCGGTCAGCCCTGGGTCAAGGGACAGATGGATTGTTTCGGGATTGCAGCCCATCCAAAGGAGAGCCCAGGCTGGTTAGCACTCAGGACTGGCCCCCGTGAGGAGCTTTTCTTCTTTCTCCCCGTTGCCGTCACCTTCAGCGTCGGGGTCTGTTGTGTGTTGTTGGGAGCCAGCTCTTGGGCCCAGTCAGTCAAGCGGACAGTGCAGTGTGTTTGCTGCATCGGGATGTAGTGCGGGGTGCAGTGGTTGTTCTGGCCTAAATGTGCAGTCCTTTAAGGAGTGTCCGATAGATCCATGCCGACATTCGTGTTAACTCTGTGACAAAGTTATCGGTAGGTAACTCTGTGGCAAAGTTATCGGTAGGAAAGCCTTCAAGCCTTTTATTCCTTCCAACTCTCTCTTCTCCACTTTGTCTTGAGGCCTCTCTCCCCTGCCTCACCCCACTGCTTCGCCTCCCACCCTCGGGTCGTGTGTGGCAGGGAAGGTGGCAACTCCAGGTCCTCTTCTGATCTGGACGGACCCAGCCTGGGAAGGGTTTAGACCAGAGCTGGCCGACTTGACGACACTGTGTGATTCAACATTTTAATGGCTGTGTTTTTTAGCTGTCTTTCCTTACATAAAGCAAATAATCTATTAGGGGAAAATGGGATGTTACATTATAGATGAGTTGCATTAGCTCTCTGCTTAAGGCACTATAATTTGTGTGGTCGTAGAAATGTTGTTTTCCTTTTGTTCTTTTAATATGGAATCTTTTACGAATGATTTCCCAGGTGGCACTAGTGGTAAAGAACCTGCCTGCAATGCAGGAGACATAAGAGACACATAAGGGTTTGATCCCTGGGTCGGGAAGATCCCTTGGAGTAGGAAACAGCAACCCACTCCAGTTTTCTTGCCCGGAGAATCCCCATGGACAGAGGAGCCTGGTGGGCTATAGGTCATGGGGTCACAGAGAGTTGGACACAATTGAGCATAAGCATGCAAGCTTGATGAGTTAAGTTCATTAAAAAGCAGACAGTATGATTCTAAAAGTTGATTTCCCCTAGATGAAGTCATGTCTCTCCTCACAGGAGAGGGAAAACATTGAACATGCTACGTCCTGAATATGTCCTGTACGGTTATTGATTCTGTTGGTAGTTATCACATGAGATCTGGGGCATCGTGTGGCCAAGTCCCCGTGGAATGCAGATTTGGAGGTAGCCGGTAGGGGTCCAGCTGGCAGCCAAGCTGGGCTAATACCCAGTCTGTCTGTCCTTCCTCTGTCACCACCCTGAACTCAGACTTATTAGTATGAACAATTACGGGCGATTGCATCTTCTTCATTTGAATAAGGAGCTAAGGAGCTCAAGACAGACCCCCTTCCCTGTTGCCCGCCTCCCAGAGCTTCATTCCAGTTGGAGGAAAGCTATATTGAAGTGACAGGACAGCCTGACCACAGGTTGCACCCAAACCCTCGGGGCTCAGAATAATCCTTGTGTAGACAGGGCTTTTCAAACTGTGTATTTCTTGCCATCAGTTTTCTGCTAACAGCAATATGTTTTTCATGTGTTTAAAAACATTTCAACACTTAGATTGTCTTTCTTCATCAGGGAAGTGAAGAATCACTTGAATTATGAACACAGAGTGTTCAATAGTGAAGAGTTTCTCAAAACAAGAGCTCTAGGGGACCAGCAGTTTTATAAGCAGGTGAGAGGCATATGGGGTTTGTGTGCGTGTGTATATTCCATCCTTTGCACTTTTCTCTGCTTAAAATGCTTTTCACATCCAGGGTTTCCAGCATCTGTTAATACTTTATTCTGTGTTTTAGCTTTCCTAGAAGTTTGTTTGAGCGTGGGTCCTGCTGATCCTTTGCCCAGCTCTTCTTTTCTTACTTGGCTTTTTAGAGTGATGCACGTGTAACTCAGTGTATCCTAAGTGTAGAGTGTGCTGAGTTGTGCCCAAGGCCCGTGCCTGGTAGCCCCTTCTTCAGCCTGGATCTGGACGCTTCCTATCAGCCTGCACAATTCCATGCCCTTCCCACCACCGCCTCCTTCCCTGGGCTGGGCCACGTCCCCTCTCCCCGGGAGCTTACTTGGAGGTTGTTCTGCCGGACTCTGTGGATGGGTGGGCTGGCTGTGAGGTGGGCATATGGGGGAGGCCGCCGTCCCCAGGAGATCCCAGAATTAATGACTCAGCTGCTGTTGTCCTGGGGGGCAGGGTGATTTGGGCTTTTGATTTTTTGTGACTTTTCAAATGTAAAGAGTGCCTGATTCTTTGAGGTTGGCTGGCGAGGGATTGAGGAGGATCTTAGCTTAGATTCTGATGAGCTAAGAACGCTGCCTGTGTTGGGAACTTGGTCTCGAGGAGCTGGTGAGAGGCCGTGGTGGGCCGGGGAAGGGCCCTCGTGAAGCAGCTGCAGGGGCCCTGGCGGCTCAGGACGGGGGGGCAGGTGCAGTGACCGCCCTCGGCATCTCTTCCAGGTCCTGGATACATACATGTTTCACGCCTTCCTCAAGGCCCGGCTCAGCAGAAGGATGGACGCCTTTGCCCAGATGGACCTCCACACGCAGTCCGAGGAGGACAGGTGTGCGTGTTAGGTTCTGAAGGATGCGCTGCTCTCCGGGGGCCTGGACGCTCAAGCAGCAGTTATGTCTGGACAGATGAATGATAAATCAGATCGGAGGAGTCTCACATTTAGATGTGCATGAGCTGGCTAGCAGCCCCGGCTCCTTCCGTGCAGCTGTTTCCTGGGGCTGGGGGGACACTGAAGTGCCTGCCGTGCAGCTCTGGGTCTGCGTTCATGCTGTTCTCTCCCCGTCTTCCTTCTCTTGCTCTCCCTACGTCTTCGCTGTTTTTGCCTCCTCTATGTTGCTTTTCCTGAACTCCTCAAACATGCATCACCGTCAGCAATGCCCTCGTTTATCCTGTGTGTCATGACCTCCCCTGGGGGGTGTGGCCTGCACTCAGCCTTCACTACACGCGGGAGAGCCCGGCAAGCTCCGGCCATTTCTCCCTCGGCACGGGGATACTGGACACTGGACGCCACACTTGGGAAAATGCCCAGTTACCTGTTGAATCGTTATCGTACATGTAAGATGTTGGGATTTTCCACCCAGGATAAACGGGATGCTCCTGAGTCCGAGGAGACCCACAATCGAGAAGATGGCCAGCCGGAAGTCCTCAGCCCCGCACGCAGCCCACCGGCGCATGGTGGTCAGCATGCCCAACCTGCAGGACATCACGGTGCCCGAGCTGCCGCCCCGGAACTCATCGCTTCGGAAGATACAGACCATGGAGTGTGGGAGCAGCCGCGCAGGTGGGCCAGCCACGCCCCTTCCGTGGCTTTTCCTAGTCACGTGATTCTAACACTGCCAATTGCTGAAAGAAGTCAGAGCTCATTCCAGGAGGAGGGAATGGGCTTTTTTTTGGGGGGGTAAGGGGTGGTAGTTCTAGTAGTTTGATTATTTGAAATATTTTTAGAATATTTATTTTGCAAGCTATGTTCATTATAGAAAATGATCTCTTGTCTGTATTTTCCATCACTTGGTTCCCAACTGCTGAAGACCACAACTATTCACGATTTTCATGTCTGTCATACATGTGTGGGTATATGCGTGTATATGCACATGTACTTAGGAGACACATGTTTACATGTATCACTAATGAGGTGCAGTGACTATTAAGCCTCCAGCGATTCTTGGGCCCTTCCTAGGTGTTGGGGTACACAGGAAGCCAATGCCCCCGCCCCCATGGACGGGGATGAAGGCAGACGATAGAAATGCGTAACACTACTGGGGGGTTAGTTGCGGTGTTCAGTGTCGTGACACAGTCAGGGGTGGTGATGGGCATAGCCGTGCCATGGGGGTGGGGAGCAGCGCTATGGTCTCAGGAGGTGGACACACGGGGGGCAGCGTGCTGTGGGAGGCAGCGGCTGCGTCTCCACCTGTGTGCAGAGTGTCTGCTTGGGGTCCCCTCGCTGGTGAGTTGCTGTAAAGCCCATTTGGACGTGTGTGAGCCCATGTGTTTTTCCCACGTGAGCCGCAGCGAAGCCGGTCACGTGTGATGCCGCTTGTGGGTGCTTGGGGCTTCTCGCAGCCCCGGGGGGGGCGTCCTCCACCTGTCCTCCATGGATGGAGAAGCGGTGGGGAGATGGTGCTGTGGGTGGAGCACCAGGTACCAGCCGGGTCTCCTGTGCGTTGGCCCGAGAGCCAGAGGCTGAGGGAAGAGCGTGCCCTCGAGGCCGGGAGGGGCTGTGTGTTCAAACGAGCAACCCTCTGGAGGCCCCTGGTGGGTCTGAGTCCCGGCGCAGCTGCCTGCCGGCCGTGTGGCCCTGGGCAGTTGCCCCGCCTCTCTGGGCCTGCACGCCCTCTCATCAGAACACCGTGGGGCCTTGCCTCTGCACTGGGCCCGCTCACTGCAGGAAGGTGCTCCGCTCCCTCTGCCCCTGCCCCGGGCTCCTCGGCCGTCCTCCAGGCTCTGTCACTGAGGCCCACCTCCTGGGGGTGCGCTCCTTCCTGCGGCCTGGCCTTGTCCACTGGCGCTGCCTGGGAGCCTTGGGGGTGAGGTTGTGGAAGGCACTGGTGTGGCACACAGCTGGTTATGTGTGACATGCGGCGGCTGTGTGCCGGGGACCAGTGGAAGCCGCAGCCCCCACACCTGTGAGATGAGTGTGGCAACAATACCTGTGCCCAGAGCTGCTGCTAAGGTAAAAGAAACGGCTGTTTAACAGGGCTTGCCTGCCTGGCAGGTACGTCTCAGCCTAGGTTACCCGCTTAATCCTCCAGTCTCAGCATCACGTGTTTCAATTTAGCCATCAGCAGTTTTAGCAAATAAAATAATGCCATACTCTCAGAGTGCAATGGGAGGCCGCTGGGGGCCCCCTTCAGCGTGGGGTACGTGGAGCTTCCTGGAAGATGTATATGGTTCCTGTTCCATGCTGTACCCAGGGCCCAGAAACAGCAGAGTGCTGGGGTGGGAACGCATGTCTGCCTCTAAGGTCTGCACTTACCGCTCACTTCCCCTTCACCCCCAGTTCTGGACGTGCCCCCTAAGTCGACGCACACCTTCAAGATCCCGGAAATCCACTTCCCGCTGGTGGCCCAGTGCGTGCAGGCGTTCTACGCAGACTGCGTGGCCCAGCTGAGCAAGGCAATGGGCTCGCTGGCCCCCGAGAACTCGGTGCTGCTGGCCAGGTACTTCTACCTCCGGGGGCTGGTGCAGCTGATGCAGGGCCACCTGCTGGGCGCCCTGCTGGACTTCCAGAGCCTGTACAAGACCGACATGCGCGTCTTCCCTGCTGACCTCGTCCAGACAACCGTGGAGTCCCTGTCGGCGCCCGAGCGCACACAGGCTGAGCGCACGCCCGAGCTGCGCCGGCTCATCAGTGAGGTCATGGACAGGCCCGTGGACACCCCCAAGGCCGACGACCGTGTCAAGAACTTTGAGCTGCCCAAGAAGCACATGCAGCTGGACGACTTCGTGAAGAGGGTGCAGGAGTCAGGCATCGTGAAGGACGCTGGCATCATACACCGGCTGTTCGAGGCGCTGACTGTAGGTAGGAGGATCCCCGCGGCTAGGGGCGCCCTGGACGGCAGGTTGGTCCAGCCAGGGAGAACCTCATGTGTCTGTGAGTCACTCAGTCGTGTCTGACTCTTTGTGACCCCGTGGACTGTAGCCCTCCAGGCTCCTCTGTCCATGGGATTCTTCAGGCCAGAATACTGGAGTGGGTTGCCATGCCGTCCTGCAGGGGATCTTCCTAACCCAGGGATCAAACCTGGGTCTCCTACACTGCAGGTGGATTCTTCACCGTCTGAGCCACCTTTGCCTTCCAGAAAGCCTCATGGGTGGGGCTTTACCTGCTGACGGACCCAGCAGCTGGCCGAGAGAGGTGGAGGGTCTGGGGAAGCTTGGTGACATCGGTCCTGGGGGACCTGCTCACGGTGTGATGACCCCTCCCTCCCACAGGGGGACCCACAGCTGGGACTGGAAGGTTCCTGTATTTGGAGCAGGCGCCCAGCGGGTAACACAGACCCACAAACACACAGAGCATCACAGCGTCGGCGGGGCCGTCTGCCTGGCACCTGCCCACCAGCTGGCAGGGCTTTTCCTTCCAGGCCTCAGTCTCACTGTGACCGAGCATCCCACGGTGGCTGGGCCTGTGTGGAGGGTAAAGCACAGGAAGTGTTATTAGATGCCACGAGGGAAGAGCATGCCAGCTCAGGGGGTGTCCAGGATGACTGCCTTGTCCGGGAAGGCTGCCTGTGGGCCCTCTATCTGGGTTTTGAAGGATGGGTAGGAGTTTTCTGGTCTGAGCACTGCAGACCAGCGTGTACAGAGGCATGTTACCACATGTCACTGTGCTGGGAGGCTGGAGTGTGACCGGAGGAGGGGCCTGACCTTGGAGGAGTCGGCCTCATGAACCCGGGGAGACTCACCCTGGGTGTGAAGTGAAGCAGGCTTGCTTGGGGGTGTGAGGGGCCCTCTGAGGATGGAGGGCAGACGGATCCACGACGCAAATGGAGCCACAGGAGCCAGACGTGGAGAAGCGTCAGGATTAGGATGAGCAGCTGAGTGGGAGTTGGGGGCGGTCCCCGCTCCGTGTTACAGATAGGGAGGCAGGCCCGCTTCGTATCTTGCCTGTGGTCACACTGCTGAAGAGCAGTGAAGCTGGCCTTCGGGTTTGGGTCTCTCTCCAGCTCTAGAGCCCCTGAATCCTGGCCATTTGGGAAGGTTACTGAATCAATTAAGATCATCATGCGTACAAATAATGATGTATTTGTTCACGTAACCAAAGAGTAAGGCTTGATGCAGTGCTGTGGGAGTGTCCGAGGATCTGTTAGTGTTAGCTACACCCTTGGACTGGCCCCAGGATGGCTGCCCACCAGTTCCAGAGATGGCACAGGAGTTCATCCTTGTCCCAGGGTCCCCACCTGGTGCCCTGAGAGGCACTGTGACTGCCAGCGTAGGGAGGGACTGGAGAGGATAGATGGACTCAGCCCAGATCACGTGCCCTCCTGCACACCTGGGGAAACTGGGTCAGAAGGGCACTCTTTCCCAGGTGGTTCCCGTCCAGGTAGACTTATGTGCTGGCGCCACCTGCTGCCTCCTGTGGGTAATGTGCAGCATCCTGGTGTCCGTGGCTTTAAGAACCTCTTTTTTTCTTTATAAAACTAAGGACACCAGAAACAGATTGACCCAGAAACGTTCAAAGACTTCTACAACTGCTGGAAGGAGGCAGAAGCAGAGGCGCAGGAGGTCAGCCTGCCTTTGTCGGTGATGGAGCAGCTGGACAAAAATGAGTGTGTGTACAAGCTGTCGCGCTCTGTCAAGACGAATCGTGGGGTAGGCAAGATTGCCATGACCCAGAAGCGCCTGTTCCTCCTCACGGAGGGCAGGCCGGGCTACGTGGAGATCTCCACCTTCAGGAACATAGAGGTGAGGACAGGCCTGTGGCTGCCAGCCGTGGGCCCGCCCCTACACACAGCTCCTGTTAACTCCCGCGCCCCCGCCCAGACTGTCATTTCACTTACCCACGTCTCTTTCTGCCTCTGCAGGATGTCAGAAGCACCATGGCCACTTTTCTGCTCCTGAGAATTCCCACTTTAAAGATCAAAACAGCATCCAAGAAAGAAGTCTTTGAGGCTAACCTCAAGACGGAGTGTGACCTCTGGCACCTGATGGTGAAGGAGATGTGGGCCGGGAGGAAGCTGGCTGACGACCACAAGGTCTGTTCTCACCTGGGGCTCCGGTCTCTTAGCGATGCTTAGCGTAAAGCCTGGGCGACTCGGGCCTGGGCCTGGGCCTGGGCGCAGCATCTCGTCAGAAGGCACTGATGATGCTGTGGTCCGCGTGACTCGGCGCAAGGCCCTGGGGTGATGGGGGAGGCCTTGGGGGCAAACACAGAGGCCAGCCCGCAGGGCGGTATGCATGGACCTGGGCTTGGCCTCTGCATTCCGCCTCCTCTGCTCCAGGTGACGCCCGGGGAGGGGAGTGTCGGGGCTGCATTCTGGCAGATGTGAGCTCAACTCTCAACTCTTTCCCTTCACGGGATTAGGGTTCTGGTCGGGGGTGTATTAGGTTCCTTCCACAGGGCTACATTTAAAATTCTAGGGAATTTTGTAGCTTCACTTACTTTGGGCCAGACTGATGGCTTTGGCTACAGCAAGTTAAAACTTCCTAGTCATGAAGGGTACCCTGGGCGGAGGTAAGACATGGGGACACACCAGGGCGATGTCTGTCTTGTCAGAAAGGCGAGATGAGACAGGAAACCCACAACAGAGTGAGCAAAGGGTCCAAACTGGGAACTCACACGGGGAGCAGTTTGTAAGGTTCTCGAGAGCTGCAGCTCACTGGTCATCGGGGAGACGCAGGTGGGGGCGGCAAACTTCAGTAGGAACGTGTGTCCAGTGGTGGAAGAGCTGCTCTCTGTGATGGACGTTCCGTCCCTGGAGGAGCCTAAGGTCAAGGAAATGGAAGGAGGCTTCTGTTTAAAATAAGGGAGGACTAGGTCCTAAGATTCCAATGTTCTGTAACTTTTGGATTCTCTGATTTTACGTCCACTTGGTTATTTAGCACAACTCAGGTGGCTCCATGGTAAAAACTCTGCCTGCCAATGCAGGAGATGTGGGTTCGATCCCTGGGCCGGGAAGATCCCTTGGAGAAGGAAATGGTAAGCCACTGCAGTATTCTTGCCTGGAAGATTCCATGGACAGAGGAGCCTGGTGGGCTGCAGTCCATGGGGTCGCGAAGAGTCGGACACGACTCAGAGACTAAACAACAACAGAGCGCATCAAAGCTGGTGGGCCAGCGGGCACCTGAGGACAGTCGTGCAGGCTCACATCCGGCCCGCCCTTCACAGGGGCTGCACTGCCTCTGCCACACACGGTGGAGCCGGTCATTGGGACAGACACTGTGCGGCCTACAGACCCTGCAGTGTTTACCACCTGGATGTTTATAGGAGTTTAGTGACACCTGGGATCAGTTCAGTTCACTTCAGTTGCTCAGTCGTGTCCGACTCTTTGCGACCCCAGGGACTGCAGCACGCCAGGCTTCTCTGTCCATCACCAGCTCCTGGAGTTTACTCAAATTCATGTCCGTCGAGTCAGTGATGCCATCCAACCATCTCATCCTCTGTCATCCCCTTCTCCTCCTGCCTTCAATCTTTCCTAGCATCAGGGTCTTTAGTTCCTCTTCACTTTCTGCCATAAGGGTGGTGTCATCTGCATATCTGAGGTTATTGATATTTCTCCTGGCAATCTTGATTCCAGCTTGTACTTCATCCAGCCCAGCATTTCTCATGATGTACTCTGAATATAAGTTAAATAAGCAGGGTGACAATATACAACCTTGATGTACTGCTTTCCCGATTTGGAACCAATCTGTTGTTCCATGTCCAGTTCTAATTGTTGCTTCTTGACCTGCATACAGATTTCTCAAGAGGCAGGTCAGGTGGTTTGGTCTTCCCATCTCTTTATGAATTTCCCACAGTTTGTTGTGATCCACACAGTCAAAGGCTTTGGCATAGTCAATAAAGTATGTTTTTCTGGAACTCTCTTGCTTTTTTGATGATCCAACAGATGTTGGCAATTTGATCTCTGATTCCTCTGGCTTTTCTAAATCCAGCTTGAACCTCTGGAAGTTCATGGTTCACGTACTGTTGAAGCCTGGCTTGGAGAATTTTGAGCATTACTTTGCTAGCATGTGAAATGAGTGCAATTTTGCAGTATTTTGAGCATTCTTTGGCATTGCCTTTCTTTGGGATTGGAATGAAAACTGACATTTTCCAATCCTGTGGTCATTGCTGAGTTTTCCATATTTGCTGGCATATTGAGTGCAGCACTTTCACAGCATCATCTTTCAGGATTTGAAATAGCTCAACTGGAATTCCATCACCTCCTCTAGCTTTGTTGGTAGTAAGTTGTTGTTGTTTAGTTGCTAAGTTGTGTCTGACTCTTTGTGACCCCATGGACTGCAGCAAGCCAGGCTTCCCTGTCCATCACTGTCTCCTGGAGTTTGCTCAAACTCATGTGCATTGAATCGAATGATGCCATCCAATCACCTCATCCTCTGTTACCCTCTTCTCCTGCCTTCAATTTTTTCCAGCATTAGGGTCTTTTCCAGTGAGCTGGCTCTTCACATCAGGTGACCAAAGTATTGGCACTTCAGCTTCAGCATCAGTCCTTCCAATGAATATTCAGGATTGATTTCCTTGAGGATTGACTGGTTTGATCTCCTTGCGGTCCAAGGGACTCTCAAGAGTCTTCTCTAACATCACAGTTCAAGAGCATCATTTCTTCGGTTGTTAGCTTTTATGGACTGGGTGATTTCATAGGCTAGTGTGTGGGAGGATTATTCCAACTATTTTGGGGAAGGGGCAGAGACAACCAGTATTTGTCTCAACTAAGAGAACATAAGTACATGACATGAAATCCAAATTTAAACTCTGCAGGTGGCTTTGAAAGCCACACATTTTTAAAAGCATTGCTGTGTGTAACGGGACACAGTCTTGGCGGGACGTGATTTCCGAGACACTGTGCTGAGATGACCGTCCTCCCACAGGACCCCCAGTACGTACAGCAGGCGCTGACCCACATTCTCCTGATGGATGCAGTCGTCGGCACGCTGCAGTCACCAGGAGCCATCTATGCGGCCTCCAAGTTGTCCTACTTTGATAGGATGAAGAATGAAAGTAAGGTTTTTATCTGGTTGCCTTTTGTCTTACCAGTTGGAACCAACCCAAATGTCTCAAACTTCTTTCTTTTGCACTTTTCCCTTTTGTACACCACAGCTCCCTCTGCGTCTTTCCTTTTCTCACTTAGCAATCCCTTGGAGCTCTCTGCTCCTCAGGACACGCTGAGACACCTCACCATTTCAGTGTCTGAGTAACAGTCCACTTTACCCCGTACGGTGTTGGTTCTGAATCTGAATTACCAATGACACAACAACAGGGTTTCCGTTGAGTGGCTCACAGAATCGCCGTCTCAGTCTCTGAGCTCTGTGGTCGGACACACGCTCACTGCAGAGCCGCAGGGACCTCTGTGCATGGTTGCCCATGACTGCCTGACCTCACTGCTCAGCCGTGGGGAGACCCCTGATGGCCATTTCAGTTTTTTCCCTTGATTCGGTCAGTTCCCCACCCCTAGGAATTCTCTGGTCTCCTGCCTGTAGGTTTAGATCTGGCTCTCACATTCTGGAAGCCATAGAGGTCAGTGGTTAGCTCAGTTTTTTATTTTTAGAAGATTTTTCAAGTCCAGGAAATAGGGAGAAGATAAGAATAGGTTTATGCAACATTTTTAGCTACTTCTGTTTTGTGTCCACTTTTAAATGATCTGCTAAAACCAGCTGTCCTATGCTTTGCATAAAGAATCAGAGACTATAGAGGACCACTCACTCTATCAACCTTACGGCATGCTGGAAGTCACCTGTGCTCAGTTAAACCCACCACGTGAAGTTAATTCATGAAACACAGATGAGCAGGTTGTAGGGATTAAAAAAAATTATTTTGGCTGTGCTGGGTCTTTGTTGCAGTGTGGGCGTTCTCTAGTTGTGGCGAGCAGGGACTGCTGTTTGCTGCGGCGTGTGGGCTTTCCACTGTGGTGGCGTCTCTGGCTGTGGGCGTGCGGGCTTCAGTAGCTGCAGTGTGCAGGCTCAGCAGCTGTGGCTCCCAGGCTTCGGTGCTCTGGGACACGTGGGATAGTCCTGACCAGGGGCTGAACCCATGACCCCTGCATTCCTATCTACTGTACCACCAGGGAGGTCCTGTAGGGATGTTTTTCAGATGACAACTAGTTTTACTTGTATGCACTTTAAAAAACGTAGCAGTTTATTGAGACATAATTCACACACCATTCCCTTTCACAGTGTACGCCTTACTGGTTTGAGTGTATTCAGAGCGCTACAGCTGTGAGCACAGTGGGTTTCAAACGTTTTCCTCACCCCAGGAAGAAGCCCCATACGTTTAGCAGCCGCCCCTCAGCTGCTGAGCAACCCCTGACCTACTTTCTGTCGCTGGGGATATGCCCGTTTTTGCCTAGTCTGAGCACCTCCTGTGCGTGAACTCATGGCAGTGCGTGTCCCGTGTGTCTGGCGTCCTTACGTGGTGTCACGCTCCAGGGTTCATCTGCGTGGCAGGGGTCACTGCTTCATCCCTCTTGAGGCTGAATGTACTCTGCTGGGTGGATGCAGTATAGTTTATCCCTCCCTCCGTTTACTGTTGGAGGTTTCCTGCTTCCTGCCTGTTGCGAACAGTGCGTCTGTGAATGTTTCCTGTACGAGTTTTTGTTTGGACATGTTTTTATTCCTCTTGAGTCAATAGCCAGGAAGAGTCCATTTAAAATGTCACCCCAGAATAAGGGGAAACAAGCCCTGGTTTTGTGTTCATCCCCCTCGGGGTGGTTTGCTCTTTGCCGTGTCTGTCACTAACCATGACACCACTAGTGCTTCCTGGTCCCAGGAACCCCTCTCCTGTATCCTGGACCCTCCCCCCACGCCCCCGCATCCCAGGACTCCACTCTTGGGGAGCAGCCAGGATGCTCCATTTGCTGGAGGGACTTGGAGGAGCTCTTGTCAACAGTCCTGGAGCCAGATGTTGACGGCAGGGTTTTTTCTCGTGCTTAATTAGGAACCAAATCAAATACACACTCCACTTGAGCTGTGGAGACCACTCCATGCTCAAGCCTGATCTTTGTCAAGAGTTTGCAGGAAAGCCTTCTCACTCTGGATACCGCGTTTGCAGTCTCCACGGAGGGACCCAGCACGTGACACTCACCCTTGATCCCCTACTGCAGGGGCAGTCCCCCAAGCTCAGTGTCCCGGATCCCTGTTCCCATTCAAGGACCGTTTGCCCTTGTGTGAAGCGTGATGAGGCAGCGATACGTGATCCCGGGCTTCAGTGATAGTTTGTGGTCCATTCGTGATGGAAGGTCTGAAAATGAAACTTTCTGAGGTTTGCACCTCATCCCTGGAGGGAGCCACTTGGCAGTCACTGGAGATATTTGTCGTGTGTGTGTGGGGGGGTAGGGGGCGGGCGTTGTTACTGGCGTTGACCAGGTGAGGCCACGGATGCTGCTAAAGGTTTTGCAGTGCACAGACACCCACGCTGCCACGCCACGTGCCGGGGTGGGAAGCTGCTCGTGGGCTCGACTGATAGAGAAGTATTCAAAGTCTTCTCTCTGCTGGACCATCCCTAACAGTCGAGTGTTAGATCATTTAGCTTGACAGCTATGTTTAGATGACAAGCAGTGTGAGACCTTGGCAGACACCCTCTGGCTGGAAACGCTTGGCTTTACTTATGTCCAGTTTAAAGAGAGATTCATCTTGGCAAATCCTGGCTCTACCCCAGGACTAATATCCTGAGGGAAGCAGAGTGTGTGAGAGTGTCCTGGAGTCTGGGGACCTGACCGCCACGTGTCTGCTTTTCAGTGCCCATGGCAGTTCCGAAGACGACCTCGGAAACCCTGAAACACAAGATCAACCCCTCGGCGGGGGAGACCGCCCCACAGGCCATTGATGTGCTGCTCTACACCCCAGGTGAGGCCCGACCCCGGCTGTGTCGCGGCTGGGTTTGTAGCTTTGTTGACGTCTACTTGATTTACAGCGTTGTGTTCATTTTTGCTGTACGGCAAGGTGATCCGGTTAATGCACGTACACACATCCTTCTTCATGCTCTTTCCTGTTGCGGTTTATCACGGGACATTGATTACGGCTCCCTGTGTGGTCCAGTTGGGCCATGCTGTCTGTGTCGCCACTGTTCTTCTCAACAGTCTGAGAGCTGAGACTCGTGCTCACGGTCAGCACTGCTGTGGAGGGGCATCGGCAGGGTGAGGGTGGACAGGGCCCAGGTGGTTTTCTGCCGTTGGAGGCAGAACTCTGGGTGATCGGGGGCAGCTGCTCTGCGGACTCGGAGACCACATCCAGCCTCGAGTCCCCATCAGTCCCCATCCAGCCTCGCCATCCTCACGTCCAGCGGATGCAGCCCCTGCACGCACATCTTTGGTTGGGGCGAGCCTGTTGTCGCTGGGATGGGGTGATGGCCCCTCTGATGACCTCAGGTGATGGCCACGTCTGATGACATAGCTGGCCGTTCCCCCCCGGTCAGGGACCAGGGGAGCATCAGTCAAGCCCTCCGGGAACGCTGGGAGCCAGGGAGCCAGGCCCCGGGCACTGAGCCTGGCTTTGGAGCATCTCAGACTCTGGGGGACTACAGATTGCGTCTCAGTGGGCAGATCACCCCAACAGGGCCAGGAGACCAAGGCATGAACACCCCAGAAAGACTGGCAGATTCACACTTCCTGGACTAGGACTGAGGAGGTGCTATAGAGCAGGGGTGGGGGAAAGACTGTCTCTATCGTAGGAGGTGCTGGGACGCTGTGGGTCCATGAGGGGAGATGGAGCTCAAGCACACCTCAGATCACACACAGCCATGGGCTCCAAGGATGGAGAGCTGAAAGGCAAAAGCAAACATAAGCAAGTGAAGCTTGGAGATGATAATACAGACAACAATCGTGATCCTAAGATAAGGAAACGAGTCAGTCACAAGGCACGTGAAAACCGTGAAAACCACGAGCCGTAAAGGAGTAGGTTGGTGACTTTGACCATATAAAGGATTTTTAAAAGAAACTTTCAAGTGAGTGAAAGTGATAGTTGCAGACTTGGAAAGGATGTTCGTAAGAGGATAGACTCGACATGGGGTATTTGAAGTCGGTGGTATTTAAAGAGCGGCTACAAGTCAAGGAGAGTAAGAGCCTGATTCAGAAGCAGGCAGGAGGCGTAAACACTTCCCCATGGAGGAGATCCAGACACCCGACTAAAGCCATCAGCCTCGTGAGCGCCAGGGAAGTGCAAACAAATCACAAGTGAAAAAACAAAATCTTCATGGTGTCAGAGTGGCCACGATGGGAAAGACTGATGGTGCCAAGTGTGGGTGGCCACGTGGGGACAGTGGGAGCCTGGCTGTGCTCGGGGTGGGGGGGCTGAGGGGGGGGTGCGGTGGCTGCAGACCCTTCTGTCCCTGAGCCCCCTTCCCGCTGCCTGAAGCGCTGCCCGCAAGAGAATGCTCAGGACTCCTGCCATCCTGCCTGGCGGAGGGCTCTGTGTGTGTGCTTCTCTGGCTGAACCAGCCAGTCCGCGATTCTGAGCTCCAAGGGGCTTGGAGGTTCAGGCTGTGCTCACCTTTGGAGCCTGGGCACCCAGGGTGGCACCTGGCTCTGAGCAGGGCCTGAGTCTTGGCCCGAATCACAAATCCCGAGCTGATGCAGCAGAGGGTTTTCTTTCAACACGTCAGGTTGCTTTCCTCTTCAGGGCATCTTGACCCAGCGGAAAAAGTGGAGGATGCTCACCCCAAATTATGGTGCGCGCTGAACGAGGGCAAGGTGATCGTATTCGACGCTTCCTCCTGGACGATTCACCAGCACTGCTTTAGAGTGGGCACGTCTAGGCTGGTGAGTAAACGGGGTGCTGTTCAGCGTGGACAGTTTTCATCGGCTTCCGGGTCAGGCTGCGGTTTTGGAGAGCGAGCATGTCCACCTGCACAGGCAGTGGATACTTGAACTCCGCGGCATCCTGCTTAGTTGGGGTTAGGGCTCCGCAGCATGTGGGGGTCTTCCTGGATCTGGGATCAACCCCACGTCTCCTGCATTCGCAGGCAGAGTCTTTATCACTGAGCCCCCAGGGAAGCCTGAGGGGTTTTCACTTTTATCTCGAGCTTTTAAATTGAATGTAAACTTGTTCTGTCTTTCACTTAAATATTCTCATTTAAGTGAGCAGATAATAGCTTTAACCACCCCTGCACTTTGAAAACTATTATAAAACTGGATTTCAGTCCTGTGAAGGGCAGGGCAATATTCTCACATTTACATTTCCAGTCACCAAAAGCGGACACTGGAATTATTTTAACATACTTGGGGTCGAGACCGAGAACCACTTAAATAAAATTTGCATGATATCATAGTTATCGTGTGGTTGAGAAACCTCAATTGTTTGAGTTTTTAGACTGATAACTTAGTCAACTTTGTTAAAAGAAAGTTCAGTTCAGTTCAGTTGCTCAGTTGAGTCTGACTCTTTGTGACCCCATGGACTGCAGCACACCAGGCTTCCCTGTCCATCACCAGCTCCGGAGTTTACTCAAACTCATGTCCGTTGAGTTGGTGATACCATCCAACCATCTCATCCTCTGTTGTCCCCTTCTCCTCCCATCAGCTTCAGTCTTTCCCAGCATCAGGGTCTTTACAGATGAGTCAGTTCTTCACATCAGGTGGCCAAAGTATTGGAGCTTCAGCTTCAGCATCAGTCCTTCCAATGAATATTCAGGACTGATTTCTTTTAGGATGGACTGGTTGGATCTCCTTGCAGTCCAAGGGACTCTCAAGAGTCTTCTCCAACACCACAGTTCAAAAGCATCAATTCTTTGGCACTCAGCTTTCTTTATAGTCCAACTCTCACATCCATACATGACCACTGGAAAAACCATAGATTGACTAGATGGACCTTTGTTGACAAAGTAATGTCTCTGCTTTTTAATATGCTATCTAGGTTGGTCATAGCTTTTCTTCCAAGGAGCAAGCGTCTTTTAATTTTGTGTAAAAACCACCTCACCCCAGCCCCTAGAAGCCCGGGGTCAAGTGTTAGGTCTGTAGCCATTAGTGCTACCAGGATCAGCCCACTGGTTTTTGGAGGTTTCTCAAGGCCTCTCATGGCTCTTTGAAAATCATTTGTTTTTGTGTGATGTCACCCACATGCCCCAGGGCCTAACACAGCCACACCTGGATTGGGCCTTGTGAATTCTGGTGTTTCCAGGAGAGGGGCAGTTGGTGCTTTCTTTCTGGTGGGGTTCGCGTGTCTTCAGCGATGCTACCCTGCTGTTCAAAATGCTGTCACACCTCCTCTCTGGTGGGCTTCACCCTGTTCAAGACCCTCAGGGTACAAAAGAAGCCACTGTCCCAAGGTGTCTTACTAGGAAAATTTTCATGCCAACTTCTTTAACATGAAACAACTTTTTTTTTTCCTGTGAAAAGCAAGGGAAGTGAAGTTTGCATATCTAAGTGTTCAGCTTATGTTCACTTTGATGGTCACGTTCCATCATCTAAAAGCAAGGCACATCTATGGCACAGCCTATGCTTCCAAAACTGGGGTGAAACAAACACTGAGATTCAAATCCATGTTGCCAAAGGGTGGGGATCATTCTTAAAGTTGTTAAAAACCATCCCCCTCCACATTCAAATAATGAGCTTTGGATGAGAAAGGAACGGGATCCAAGACACATTAGAGCAAAATATTTATAAAAGTCTAATAACGCTTTAGATCAAACAAAAAATAAGAAGGAAAAATTAAGGACATCATTATTACTCTAAAATTTAATTTCTTCCTGTTGCTTCTTAGTTACAAGCATTTCAAAGACTGTTTAATAATAGAATAACTTTAAAATCCTCCTGAAAATGAAATCAAATGCTGCATTTTGTATCAATCTCTATTGATCGGCAGTTAGGCCAAGTAACATTTAATTAAAGCAGAAAGTTAACAAATTATGTGAAAATATCTTCCTACTAGTTTCACAGGAGCAGTTTGTATCATTTGACAAGGCAGAAAGTTGGGCAGTTATCTCTAGAAAATGCTGCCTCCTCTGAAATTTGAAGTTCAAAGTGGTTTATCTGAGATATCCTTGGGCCACTAAAGAAAGACATTTTACTAAAATTATAATAATTCTCTGGTAGATGCCACAAAAGAAAGAGCTTTTTAAAATAATTAATTCTGAAATTAGCAAAGTAGCATCTTTTGAGAATACGTATTGGTAAAATCGAAACTATCAGTTTTTATAAGCTCTTTCACATGGTAATGATAAGTAAAAGCAACCACTAGATAAGTAATGGTAACCACCATCGATAGTGATTTACTGTATTAGATCTAGCCTCAGCCCCTCCAACATGATGTAACTGTTACTCTTGTATTTGAAAACCTGAGGCATCTGTTCAGTTTCAGTAAAATGTTCCTAGTGTCATGGATGAAGGCCGACACCAGCTCAGGAAATTTTTAGGGATGCAGTCGGGTTGGTTGAGATGTACCAGCAGACACACTTATGGTTTACACGTTTACGTGGCTTGTATAACTCTTCAGTGTTTTAGCCCTTAATTTCTAATTTCGGAAACTCTACAGATATTCACTGTTGTCGGTTCTTGCCATGCCGGAACCCCTGAGAGCTGTCTCCAGCTGCAGGAGCACTGGGAGTTTTGTTTGTTGCTAGTACTCTTTGGAAGGAAAGTTGTGACCAACCTAGACAGCATATTAAAAAGCAGAGACATTACTTTGCCAACAAAGGTCCATCTGGTCAAGGCTATGGTTTTTCCAGTGGTCATGTGTGGATGTGAGAGTTGGACTATAAAGAAAGCTGAGCACTGAAGAATTGATGCTTTTGAACTGTGGTGTTGGAGAAGACTCTTGAGAGTCCCTTGGACTGCAAGGAGAGCCAACCAGTCCATCCCGAAGGAGATCAGTCCTGGGTGTTCATTGGAAGGACTGATGCTGAAGCTGAAACTCCAATACTTTGGCCACCTCATGCGAAGAGCTGACTCATTGGAAAAGACCCTGATGCTGGGAGGGATTCGGGGCTGGAGGAGAAGGGGGACAACAGAGGATGAGATGGCTGGATGGCATCACTGACTCGATGGATATGAATTTGAGTAAACTCCGGGAGTTGGTGATGGACAGGCAGGCCTGGTGTGCTGCGATTCATGGGGTCACAAAGAGTCGGACACGACTGAGTGACTGAACTGAACTGAACTGAGTGTGCAGATCTGCCTCATCGCGCATTGATTTGTGGCCCCAGAACAAACGCTAATGGAGCTTTCGTGGTTGTCCAGGGACAATCTTGTGGACAGGGCCTGGGAGCTGAGTGCACGTTTTATCCAAGGTCGGGCAAGGCGACTCTGCCTCTGGGGTCAGCTCAAACTGTGCACTGGTATCCTTTTCATGGCCTATTTAGTGCCATGTCTTTCACATTCGTGTGCTCTGATGTGTGTGTGATTTTGCTGTTTAAAATGCTGCCTTAGTGTAGAGCTGAAGAGCCTTATGGAGAAGGTGTGGACACAGTTCGGACCTGTGTTGTTCAAGGATCAAAGGTGTCCTTAAACAGAAATGCACATCAGTGATGACATGTTGATTGCGTGACAGTGGTGTGACCCGAGGCCAGCAGGAACCTGAGCCTGTGAGTTCACGGGAGCGGTGGCTCGGCGTGGGACACACAGGCCGTTGACCGCGCTGCTGTCTCCTTGGCCCGACAGAACTGCATGGTGATGGCGGAGCAGAGCCAGGTGTGGGTCGGCTCGGAGGACTCGGTCATCTACATCATCAATGTCCACAGCATGTCCTGCAACAAGCAGCTCACTGACCACCGCTCCAGCGTCACGGGCCTGGCTGTGCACGACGGTGTGCAGGCGACCAGGTGCGGTGGGCTTCACTGGGTGGGGGGCCGCCTGGCTCATGGGCGGGTCAGGGTCCCAGAGGGCAGGGTCCCAGTGGCCAGGCAGGGGGAGCGAAGCAGGTCTGGGAGGCGAGCCAGAGGACGTCCCTGCATGGCTCTGGTCATGCGTACAGAGAAGTGGTCTGAGGACGTGGTCAGAGAAGACCCCCTCCGGGGTGAGCATGGTGGGCACGCGGCGGGCCCCTGGCCTCCCCGCCCGTTCCCTGGCTCTGGGCTTGGCCTGCCGTCCTTGGCCTGTGAATGCATCACTGAAGTCCCTGTCTTCGCATGGGACCCCATGTGCCTCTGTCCAGCTGTGCACTTATCAGGACGCTGGTCAGTACTGGATTAGGGTCCACCCTGTTAGCATCACTTAACTACTTCTCTGAAGACGCTGCTGTGAACTAAGGTGGCATTTGAAGTGTTGGAGGTTAAGGGCATCAACATATCTTTCTTCGGGACCGCAGTTCAACCTGTCGGCTGTCTCCAGGCCTTGAGGGCAGCCCCCGTCTGTTCCCTCGCTGTGGCCTGGGCCTGGATCGGGGCCTGGCACACCGCAGGTGAGGGGTGGGGGGTGCTGAGCACCCGGCGGAGCCCGCTTCCCGCTGTGACCTGGGAGCAAGTGGACACAAGTGGCCACGGCTCCTTTTTGGTTGCTCCCCTGGTGCCACCCCCACCTCCTGTCCCCCGAGGGTCAGGGGTGCCGAGTGTCCTCAGTCGGGGGGGGGGACTTGGGTCCTCAGTTGAAGGTGACACGCCATCAGGACGTGCAGGGCACACAGCACTAGCTGAGCCCGCCCCCCCCCCCCCCCCCCCC